GCTTTCAATTTTCATATCTGAGCCCTCATTCTCAGCCAAGAAAATTAATAAAGAAGAAACAAATTTTAACAGGCATCACTGCATAAATATGCCACTACCTCTGCTTTCTCTGAGTAAAGTTTCATTTCAGTATTTCCCCACAGTTAACAATGAAATTGATTTTTGGATAATCAGCATGTTTTGTTCTCCTTGCAATTTCTAGTCATGACTTCTACCGAATTAAAACACAGGGACTGTCAGCAATATATCCAGAGCTCTGAATGAATAAAACTGTAATTTCAGGAGTATACTAATACTGCAAATTAATTTTACATTCATTGTGATGTCTGATCAAGGCAAACTACTTTCTTATTATGCATATGTTCAAAGGTATTGTCTATCACAAGAGCTATTTAAAACAGTGTTAGAAATCTAATGAAGTCTACCAACCTCCCATTTTTAAACAACAGTTGGGTTGGTAACAGCATCAGATTTAGTTTCACCCATTCAACTGAACCTCAAATTTTCTGGTATTCACTACAACTCATCTCCTCTGACACTTCTACAGAAATACAATTAAGTATGTCTCTCTTTAATATTATCACAGTATTTAAAGTTGTTGCAAGTTCATCCTTTTTCTTCCAGTTTGCTAAACACATACAATGTTCAGATAACCAGCAGAGCCAGACAACCATATTTTTAAGATCTTATTTTCACACTGGGAACAGTTGCAAAGCTGTTAGTTCCTAGTGCCTGGCAAACTTAAACACATAAATAAATTATTACTTCTAAACAAGCGAAGTTTCTGAGAGGTCTCTAATGACCATTTCATGGAAATATAGTTACCTAAGATGAAACTGTGTATCTCAGGTATAATTCCACAGAAAATGGTGCCAAATGTCAGTCATTACTCAGTATACCAAAGATATCTGGTACCTGGCCAGTAACTCAGGGACAGTTTCTGTATATCTTTATCAGGCAATCTTCATTCACATAAAAGGCAATCCATAAACATAATTTAAATCCATTAAAGCATGTAGTTCTTCAGCTGGGACAGAATAAAATACCTATCAATTCCTTTTCTGTGTGTGAATTAATCTCAGCAAAGGGGAGGAGGCCCTGCTGAGTTCATTATTCTGAATACTGTAATACATTTGTCTCTAAAACTGCATTACATTAACTGAGAATAATGCAGTTTTTATTCTTTCATACGTATATTAGCTTAATGAGCCATTAAAATGTCTAGTATTTAAAGCATACAATGAGATCTATAGTTTAAGCTTCAGAAATCATCCACATATCTTACAAGTGCTAACAGTACTCTCAACAGGAGAAATTTATCCTTTCATTTATTTTTAAATTCCCCTTTCATTTTATTCCATAAAATGCATTTATTTAAAGGAAAGCAGTCTAAATCTTTAATACTTAATCAAGTAATCTAAGTTAGAAAGGCAAAATGGGAACATATATGTTGGATAATACCCTGCTTCTGTGCAGGTCCAAGGAAATTACACTCATTTTCTCTTTCACTTTCTGTAGTTAATTAAACAGAAAATTCTTCCTTTCCTGCTGAGTAGAGTTCCATAAAGAAATCTTTCCCCTTGGAAGCAAAAATATCCATCCACAAAGGGGCCATGTGCTTTGGCAGTGACCTCCAGATCTCCCGAACAGGCTGTTGACATGCAAAAATGTTGGGTTTAGACCTCACCGTGGGAATTCCCCAGCACCAGCATGGCCTGTGACTGTTACAAGGGAGTCATTGGTTCAGCCTTGCCACTTTTGCCTGCAAAGTCAAAACAACAGCAGAAACACAGCAGATGCATACCCAGACAATCAAGGAAAGACAGAAGGTGGTTGCAGAGCTATAACTATTTGCTATTGCAGACCAGCCTTACCCACTGTATTTTTCTCCTCTCAGAAATTTACTGCATCTAATTACTTCTGTGTGATTGCCTCAGGAACAACACCCATAAATCTGTGAAATGTCTACATGGTATTATCCTTGCATAATCTTGGCATACTCATAAGTAAAATCCTTCACCAAATAGAAAGTTACTGTCAGTAATTTGATTTTCCAAGATCTGTTCTTTTAGATACTATTCTACCAGAAGTCTAGTCTGTCCTGTATTTCTATATATGATGAATAATTTCAGTAATATTATTTTAAAAGAACTTTCAAGACTTTGTTACTTTGATTTTTCCATCATTCCATATCACATAATGTCGCTGATAGTGTTGGAACGGCCAAGGCGACACAGATATCAGAGTCAGACATAGTCCAGGTGCAAGGTGATCAGGAAGCTGTTTATTGCTGTCAAGTGTTTCTCTTATACTCTTTGTACACTATCGTGTCACAACACAATTGGTCAAAAGTCTCAAGCATAAGACACTGCACACACTCTTACTGGTGACACTGAAAACACTGAGCATGCTGTGACATGCTATTGGTGACATTATACACATTTTGATTGGTGACCTTTGGTCTGGGCTGCATTACGTTTGTTCCGTCCACCATTACAGTAAACATTTCCTAAAAGCCGTTTAAATTCCTCATCACTAATTGCCAGGCTGCTGACAGGTTCTCTGTCAACCCTGACAACATAATAATTACCATTGAACTAATTTAATAAGGTATATTATAGCAGAGCAGCATTTTTAGCTGATTAAACATGTATCAAGAGTATTAAACAATCTCCTTCACCTTTGTTCCAAAGTAACTGCATGTAATACTATATAACCACTATTATAATTAAATGTATGTTTCATGGTGTGACAATTTTAATGTATCTCGTTCTAAAGTCTACCGGTTCAGTTTGTCTCCTGGCTCAGCACTGCTAGTAAGATTTAAAAAAAAAAAAAAAAAAAAACCACAACAAAAAACCACCACCACCACCAAAACTATGCCGTAACACTTTAAGGGAGGAATTACAGTTTGTGAGAAAGAAGCAGTTTTATTAGGCAACAAAGGACTGTAATACAGCACACCTGACAAAGCTCAGCAGCTTTGAAAGAAAGACAGCTAAAGAGCTAAACTGGACTAACACAGCAAAAAGCTTAGATCAGGTACCTTGGAGTTTTCAGTGCATGACTTCTTTTTTCTACCTTCCCAGCTTTTCTAATAAGTACTTTTTAATAGGATTTTTTATTCTAGTTGAGGCAGGATGAAAATAATAAGAAACCAATTCACACAGAGATATAAAAGAAAAGGAGGCCTTCAGACCAAGAAAATCATTGCAATTTGTACCATTTGGGGGGGGGGGGGGGGGGGGGGGGGGGAAATGGAGAATGTTTTGGGAGGACTCTGAAGTTCCTGGAGAACTAGAATGTATTCCAAACCATTACATCTGCAGTAACAGTGCAAACCAGTGATTAGTGAGGTAAACAGCAATAGAAATGCCACTGAATCTCCGCATATTTTCCAAGATATATATAAAAAATTACTTAATCTGTTTCAGAATATAAACTTTAACTTGTCTGTGATGCCAACTAAAGAACCTCTTCATTTCAGCAGGGAATTCCGTCAGGCCCATTTAAAGTCAAATTCAGGCTACCCATGTTCTATACTCATATCCTTCCTTTCCCCATATCTGTTTCCTTTTAAAATCCAGAAAATAATTGCAAAAAAATGCATTTATGCAGTGTCAATAGTTAATGCTCACTTTATAAGCATGCAAAAGCTGTGTTCTCAGTAGGCACATGCACACAGAGCACACGTATACATCACATTTATACATAAATATTTATAAACAGCTGGCCACACATACCATGGAATGCTTTGAGTTTGGAAGGGACCTTAAAGGTTACCTCCTTCCAACACTCCTGCACTGGCTGCAAAGCGGTGGTGTAGTCCTATCCTGCACCAGCTGCTGCTGGTAAGGGCTGCTGGGGCTGGGGATGGGGCAGCCAGGTACACACCCCGCTCCTGTGAGGCCACAGGGCAAACAGAGTCACAAGACAGACCAGCTGCTGTGCCAGCCCGTGCCACAGCTGAGAGGCTGATCTTAGTCCTGGCCTCTCACAGAATCACAGAATATTCTGAGTTGGAAGGGACCCACAATAATCATCAAAGTCCAAGTCATGGCCCTGCCCATGACATCCTCAAAAATCACACTATGTGCCTAAGAGTATTGTCCAAATTCTTTTTGAACACTCTCTTGGTGCTGTGACCACTTCCCTGGGGAGCCTGTTCCAGTGCTCAATCACCCTCTGCATGAAGAGCCTTTTTCTAATATCCAACTTAAACCTCCCCTGACACAACTTCAGGCCATTGCCTCAGGTCCTGTCACTAGTCACCACAGAGAAGAGATCAGTGCCTGCCCCTCCATTTCCCCTCACAAGGAAAATGTAGACTGTGATGAGGTCTCCCTTCAGTCTCCTCTTCTCCAGGCTGAACAGACCAAGTGATCTCAGCTGCTCCTCATACGGCTTCCCCTCAAGACCCTTCACCATCTTCATACCCCTCCTTTGGACACTTTCTAATAGCTTAATTTCTCTCTTATACTGTGGTTCCCAAAACTGTACACAGTACTAGAGGTGAGGCTGCCCCAGTGCAGAGCAGACTGGGACAATCCCCTCCTTGACCGGCTGGCGATGCTGTGCCTGATGACCCCCAGGACACAGTTGGCCCTCCTGGCTGCCAGGGCACTGATGACTCATATTCAACTTGCCATCGACCAGGACCCCCAGGTCACTTTTCGCAGCATTGCTTTCCAGCATCTTGTTGCTATCCGTATATACATCCAGGATTACCATGTCCAAGGTGGAAAACCTAAATCTCTCAGTTCACTTCTCTTCACTAGAAATGAAGTTGGAGGAAAAAATAATCAGTTCCCATGAACTGTCTTACAGTGATGAAAATGTTTGGAAGCTTTGTGACAAAATCAGTAGACAGAATCAATACCCTCTAGAAGAATTTCATGCTATTTTCATGGAAAGAAAACATTTTGTTCTGAAACGAGTTCTTTAACCCAGCGTGCAATGGGACGATTCACAGTCAGAGTCGAGGTTATGTCTGGTTTCAGTTATGTACTGAAAGAAGTTTCTTTCTTCTATTCTTTTTTCTATAGCTGCTGCAATTACTGAGATGTTATACATAATTTATCTATTTGGGAGCCATACATCAACTTCAGAGTATGTCAAAGAAAGTATACTGAAGTCAAGTATCAGAGATAATTTAAGGCAGCAATTTCTTTCTTCATTGCCTAATAAGAAAAAAAGACAAATCAGGAGTCAGCATGAATGCAAACTTGAGAACCCTGTTTGCTTCTTCATCAAAAGAATTAAGAATCTGTTCATACATACAATTGTTACCAATATTTAGCCAATACATGTGCTACCACCATCACAACATCTTTCTAGACCCCCTAGCTTCAAACGCATCCTTAGGAACCCAAAATAGAAGTAGGCTACAGAGTCTGCAGTGATTTGCATAATGGGACTATGGATCTTCATCAATGGTGGTTTCAACAATGAGAAAAGAGGCAGTTCCTGAAGAGCCACAAATAAAAGCTGGAACTGTTCTGTTCTGCACTCTGACTAAGTACTTGTTAAAGTCTCTCTCTTCATACAGTAGAGGTTGCTCCCAGCTAATTCATGCAGTCACTCTGAATAGAAGACATTTTTTGGTTAAAGCTAAAGGTAGAAGTAGAAAACAAACAAAAAAATGAAGTCCAGTCATAAAAGTTCACATGCCCTGAGATAACATAAACAGGTCCCTTCTCATGATAAAACACATCACTATGCTATTGTGAGAGAAGGGTGCATTTTTCAGGCTTAGCCTCCCTGAATCCACAAAATCCTCAGTGCTGTACAGTCAGAGCAGAGCATCTCTTCTAACTCTTTGTCAGTTGTGGAAGAAAAGATCAAGATGACTAAGGCCAAAGAGAAGACGCTTTTTTTTAAGGCAGAATGAGAGGCATAAAGAATTTTATCTGTTCTCAGGCACAAGCATCTGAAAGACAAATGGTTTCAAGGATCTTGAAGCTAGACTGAATATCCAGCCTATCTGAATCAACTCAATACTGGGAATGCCCAACTGGAACCATGGGTGCCTGTGGAAGATTTCTGCTCAGTTCTGACAACTCAGAAATCCTCTCTTAGAGGAAGAGATTAGAGAATTTGACCCATTATCATCAAACTGTCATAGGCAGAAAGCTCCCCATTTGTCAAATTAAAGATGCTTGGGCCATGCTAGTTAAAAACAAAGTCTGGTGAGACTAGAGAAAAGTCTCAAATTCTTGCTATGTTTCATACTTAATTTCTTTTCAAGAATGGACTGACTACTATACGAGCATTACCATGTGCTCCTTACTGCCTGCAAGGGAAGAAAGAGGAAGTGACAGACTGAGAAAAGTGCCCTCCTTTTGCAGCCCCCACCCCTGAAAAGGTTCTGGAGAAAGACTATTGGCAGACTGAGGTTAACTGGTTTGAGAGGCCTGTGTGGGTGGACCCATTGTCTTCAAGCCTTTTCCTGCTAAGTTTGCCAACAATTATGCCAAACATAACAATGGTTTTGCAATATGGATAAATGTCTTCCAGACTGAAATGAAAAAGTCTTGTGAAACAGGCAACTAGGCAGTAAAGAATAATGCTAAATAAGCATAATGTTCACAGTGCACACATACATTTATGTAACACATACACAAACACACACATAATCGTGTATGATAGAAAGTGCTATAAGACAATAAAACTTACCTTCACTAATTCAGTTTTGTCATCATCTTCCCTGTGTTGGTAAATGCACTGGCTGAGAACAGCATAAAGTCTTTCCATGCAAGACATACTGACATTTTCAGTTGCCACAATAATAGAATCCAATACTTGCTGAAAAAAAAATTGGAAACTACAGTTCAGAATACCGCAGGATACATCCTACTTTCTTATATTGTTAAATAAAAGTGGCGCTTCAGAGAACTGATTAAATAGATGACAAGATTTAACTGGAGAAAACAAAGTATTTTTTATACTTCAGAGAAAAGGGAGGTTTACATTTCAGGCAATATTTTCTTACTCATCAATGTATGACATCAATGATCATAATTGCCAATCATCTGCTTCTAAAACACCAGGGAATGACGCAACCCACTCTGTCATAGAGTAGCTGCCACAGCAAAGCCACAGTTGCATTTCATTCAAAATGCAATACAAGGCTCTGGAAAATGCGTCTTTGGAAACCAGGGTACAGATCTTTCAGATACAGCTGTAACAGCTGGAAACGGAACCATCCTTAGTTGCTCATCTTTACCCACTAGCTGAATGTGTACTGTGGCTAACATCAGTTAGCTCCCACCTTGCCACTCAAGAGTGACTAAACTAGCAGTGTGACCGCCTGTAGCAAATTACCACTCTCTCATACAGTCCCTTCTTTTACCAAAGATGTGAATGTGATAATCTCTGGGAAAGCAATGCTAACACGCTAGTGGCAGCACTGCTGTGTCTGTTCAGTAGCTGTGTGTTGTGTGAGGCTGTGAAGATGTAGCTTAAGAGAGCAGGCACACCAAACAAAAATATTACTGCCTGACAACTGCTTGCTATCAAACTCTGCATCCCTCAGATCAGCTAGCACAAGATTTGAGCATTCCCTTCAGCTTCATCCTCTACAACATGCAAAGAAGATGCACAAAAATCACATAGCATTCTTTCAGCTGCTGCAAGCACAAGAGATAGGACATGACAGAGGTTCATGGCCAACATCCCATATGAAACTATTTCCAATTGCTGCCACATAGGTAACTGTATGCTCTTCTGTATGTTCATCAAGTTCTACACGTATTACCAAGCAAAAAAGCAAACACACACACACACAGAGAACACCAAAAAAACAAACAAAAAACCAAAAACAAACTACAAAAAAACCCAAACAAAACCAACCAAACAAAAACCCCATACAAAACCAAGCAGCTACAGTTTGGAGGAGCTTTCTGGTACAGGCAGCAAGTTCCAGTGACACCCATGTTAAGGAAACAAGTTTTCTAAAAGATGTGTTTCAGGATTGTAGCTCTCTGCTTGCAGCTGAAAGAAGTATAACTCTACCATTTCTCCAGTCAGTAGGCAATAACTTTGGATTACACGCTGTTAGCACCCTGACTCTAGAAAAGCCTATGTGGCCTCTTGAATTACACAGGCACACATGAACAATAGAACCCCCTGAAATTTACCTCCTTAGAAAGCCAGCTTAGAAAGTTAGTTTCACCTCTACAAATCAGGCCAACTCTTAAAAATGTGACAGAAATTGTGTTGAGAAGCCACTTCACCAATGGAGATTTCTCTCTGGTCACATTGTCCCCACACAGGGGGAACATCCAGGTAATACTCCTTTTCTCATCATGGCAGGTAAAGAGGAGGCTCCACTGCTTTGACCAACCTCCAGGACTTCAATCTAGCAATTTCTCAAATTCTCCTCAAGGCTATATTCCCTGAAGGTCAGGTCCTTCTTCTACCCTCTCATGCAGAGGAATCTCTCATCCCAGCTCATGCAGAGGAATCTTTTTTGCTCCCTGCAGCTAGGCCTATTTTTGCCTCCTTCCCGAGTTGTAGCCTAGGATAGCAACTTCTCTCCTGCAGGGGCCTGGAAAAACCTTGTAACACTGCAACTGTATGAAGGCAAAATTTTAACACTGGATTTTGAAAGCATTTGAGAAAAGCAGGTATTAGTATTTTATCCAGGTTGAGCTTAAGATCAACCTGCTAATTTCAGGTTTCAAGTAATCACTGCTAAAAATCAAGGCCCTTTTCCAATTCCTAATAAATGAAAACAAGTGAACAGCAAACCAAAAAAACACCTGCATCCCCAGTTCATCATAAAAACTGCTAAGACATTAATAACCAACAGTAGTAGCAGGTAGTCAGTGGGCTATTTTAAAATTTAACAAGCCCTTTTACATTAAAAATTAGGAAGAGAATCCAGTCTCCTAAAATTTAGTTCAGCAAAAGCAAGAGCAGCAGTCCACACCAGCTGTGGAAACAACAGCTGAATTATTTCACAAGCTGAATTATTTCACAAGCTGTATATCCCTCTCATAAGTTGTTTGAATTGGCATTGGTTAACAACTGACTTAATTTAAAATCATAGAGGTACCAAGAAAATGTCCTGTTTCAGTGTTAACAAAATTGAAATTAGACTTACTTTGAGCTCAGAGTAATCCACAGACACTCCCCGTGTGTGAATTTTCATTGCTTTCCTGTCACATACTTGCGGTTGCTCATCCACCTGAGAACGTCCCGCATAATTTGTATGACGGACTTGTGAATCTGGAATGATACAAATTTCTTAAGTCATGATTTCTCTTTATCTGGACTACAGTATCAGTGAAGTATCCTGTACCTGGAAAAGAGTACCTCTTTGCAACAGAGACATAAGTGTTACCATTTTTTCAGTGAGAAATACTTGACTTCTCCTTTCTTTCTGGCACTGCTCCACAAAAACTAGAATCGGACACAAAAAAAAAAAAAAGGCACTAGAGAAAAAAGGCAGGGTAAAACTAGGAAAAAAATAGTCATGCTGCCACAAGAGCACTGCACAGTAAAACTCTGATAAAAAAAAAGAAAGGAACAGTAAAAAAAAAAAGTATTTTAGATTAGGAAACACATCTTACATTTCAAACATTAGGACATAATTCTTCTATTCCACATGTGACTCTTCTATTCCTCACTGCTTCAAGTACAGTTTTTTAGCTTAAGATGCTTATTACAGGGAAGATACTTGTACAATAGGTATGAATCTTTAAAATAGATACCATTTGAAAAATGAGCTGCAGAATCAGAAAAAATAGACACTGCATAAAACTGAATTTGGTTGGCATAGCTAGAGGAGCAGCATCATTATGCAAGAAACACTGTGCTTATTTGAGAGACACACAATGGAAGTAATAGAAGCGAATTAAAGAAGGTTAAAACCTAATAAATAGTTTAACCCTCCTCAAGGAGAGAAAGGAGATAAATGACCTGTTTGACCTTTCATTTACCATTTGAATGTCCATCTTCAGAAGTTCCAGTTTTTTGCCAATCTGGCATGCCGCTTGCCTTTCTTAGGTCTGATTGTTCAGGAAGTACGACACTCTTCCTTTCAGTGAGAGATTCAGCCACAAGGGTCACTTTCTCTCTTTCATTTTCTGTCCCATTTTTCTGTTGTCCTTGAAGTACATTTTCATGTTCTTCCACAAAAGTACCCTGGGAAGATGCAAACTGAACATTCTTCATCTTTGCTGCAATACTGGAAGAGTCTTCCTTTGTTTTGTGTTTTCTTTTTGACTTATCTATAAAGAGATACAAGAAAAAGTAATCCAAACCATTACCAAAACAGTTCTTTCTCCAAAACGCAGCATCATCATTTTACTTGCAAGGAAAATGACCACAGCTTAAGTACCATTGTCCATCTCCCTACATGTGTCTAGAGAAAAAGCTGCAAGTTAATGAGGTCAGTTTGCTACTAGATATATTATAGGCAGAGAAAGGGAATACACTGCTCCATGTAACTAAAAACTAGTTGAATATTCAGAAACAGCCACATACAATGTTTTGGACTTTAAGATGTAAATGCCATTAAATGTCAGCTGGGTCATCAAGGCCAGGCTCTTACAAAGTCAAGCACCCACTGCACTTGAATTTCATAACCACACTGAATGAATGACCTCAGGATTTATCCCACCTTGTGAAGCATAATAAAAAATTTAATGCCTCCAGCATGAAAAACCAGGCATCATAGGAACCTGCTCTTAGGCCACAGGAACAGAGAAAGTGGCATTGTCTTTATCAGCTTCTCCAAGAAAGTCTGAATAAAACTTAAGTTGCCATTAGAGCAGGGGGTACTGGCATCCACAGGCACTGCTGGCATCGTTATTTTTTCATTACACTTTGGGACTGTTTTCTTACACCCTGCAGAGCAAAGAATTGTTTCTTGCATAGTTGTTTACAAAGAGTGAGACAAGTCTTAAAATCCTCAGCATCAAAAAACATACCTCTTTCCTTACGAGATTCTTTAATTTCTTGGCAGCGTTGTTCAAAATCTTTATCCAGTTCGTGCCTCACTATGGAATATGCAGTATCACTCAAAGCATAAGCTTTGTGACTCAGGAGGCAATCTGAAATGTTAGTTGGAACTGAGCGTTTTCTACTAGACAATGAAACCCTTTATTTTGTTTTACTTAGAATGATTTTTCTCTTTTCATAGGCAGGTTCTGAAATGTTATCTCAGATAATATTTTCAGCATAATAACAGAAAAGTTAATTATTAAAGCAAAAGCACTAGTTACCAATCAACACATCTACCCCAATTTCATGAGCAAACAGTTTATTTACAACCTGGCAATTTTAAACAACCCCAGAGAGCATTTCTTCCCACACCTACTGTCTGCAGATGACATTTATCAATTTACATCTTTAAAATTTTTCCAAACTAGGGATAAAAAGCACATCCTCACCTCCAGGACTTTCATATGGTTTGTACTCTAAAGCATTGCTACAGATTAGATCAATGTCCTTCAGAAAATCTCCTGCAGTTAGATACTGGTGCATGTCAATCTTGGAGAGAACTGTCGAGAGGTCCATGGGCTGTTTAATAACAGCCTTGTAATTGGGTGCCTGTAAATGAAATATATGTGCTTAGAGATTTAATATAGTAGCTACCAAAATTTATTATTATTATTAATTATTAATTATATTTACACTTTTATATTGTTATATTACTATAGATAATGACCAAAACAGCTACATATCTCCTTTCCATTGCAACCACATTGTTCTAAAATAAACCTTATATATATAAACCTTATATATACAAACACCAGTCATTCAGTGCTATTTCACTCTAATCCACCTCAAGGGATTTATTAACAAGAACCTCAGTTACCCCACCTTCAGGGGAGGGTTGTAACAGCATCTATTTTCAAATGAGCTAACTGGACGATTTCTTTACTCAGATCATAAAAGGAGCCTACTGACTAGTTTAGATTAGGACATCTACATTTGTTTAGATTATTCAAATCTCAGAAACTACAAAGAAAGAAAAAGACAAGTCAGTGGATGCTTAGGAGAATGGGACCTCACTGAAAGGCAAAGCTATCTTAAAACTAAAACTGACTTTGAAGTATGTGCCTCTGGCTTAGACTTATTCAATAAATTAAATGAGAGATGTATGGGAGGAAGGAAAAAACATGCACCCCTTATGGTTGATCTTATACTGAGGAAAGGTACAGATAAAAGTGAGAACAGTATCTGAAAAGTTATTTGACAAGCTGCTGCTTCTACTCCTGTTCTCACAGAAACTATTGACAGTCATTAAAGAGCTTTTGGCTTTAATAAAACAACCATATAGGTACTGTTTATAATTACAGAGAGAGATCTCTCTGCTTTTTTTTTCATCAGCAAACTGTGTTAGCATTTGGTGTAACTGGCACTTGGATTAGCTGATCCTTGTAGGTCCCTTCCAACTGAAATATTCTAAAGTTTTAAAAACATTTTAAAAGAACACAGGACTTTCAGTGAAGACTCAAATACAGACATTTGAGAGCTTCAAGGAGTCAACAAAAGTAAAAGTAAAATTCACTTCCTGCTTCTTGGAAAATCAGAATAGTATGGTCCTAAAAACAAAGATAAACCTTCCTAGAAACAGCAAACACCAAGAAACATACACAAAGAGAAATTATGAATACACACAGCCATAATGGGATTACAAATCAACACTAATTTACCTCCTCTGGGTCAACAGGCTTCATAAATGGTCTGAAACGTCTGTCAATGACAAGTCTATGAGCCACATCCCTTAAGTAAATTCTAAGTTCACGCAATGTATCCTCTTCCTGCTCCTCCACCTGTCTTATTTCTTCCTCTGTCAGCTGTCGAGGCTTAGGTGGTGGTGCTACGGGCAAGACTTCCAATGGCTGCCAAGCTTAAATTAATCAGGAAATGATAGTCAATTGATGGTACTCAAATACAAGCACATGAGAAATGATTGATAAAAAATTACCACCAAAGCAAATAGTGTATTAGCTGTTAACTTACAGTTAGCAAAGTTTTATACGTAGAATATCCTCCTCACCTGTGTTGTTTTTTGATGCAGGAGGTTGAGCAGCTTGTTTCATAACTAAGTCCTCAAAAAAATGTCTTCTTTCAGCACAGGTAGGCCGCGGGACTTTGAAAACTTCTTCATATTCATTATTAAACAATGCTTTTATCTAAACCATGAGGAGAAAAGATATTTCAGATAAACAAGGCCACACAAATTTTTTATATTCTGTTCCAAAAGGATGAGTACCTCTCTAAATTAAACTGAATACTCATCTGGATAAGACAATCAATGAAAAGTTATCTTCTTGGCCTTAAAAGGCTAGATTTTTATAGCATGGCAAATTAAAATACTTTCTTTAAAGAATACCTTGTAGAGTTCAAGCTCCAGTAAGAAACTGCAAGATAAACCACTGAAAGAGGGGTGACGCTCACCACCCCCAAGACTGTATTATTTTGTATTTACCTGCCTTGCTGTCTTTTAGATTGAATCTTTATGGCAGCCAGAGAGCGAAACAGGCAAGGCTCAGCAGAAAAGTGCTGGTTTTTTAGTCAGGTGTTTGGGTTTTCTTTAATTATATTTTTAATTAATTTAAATGAGATGTCCCAAATTGCATACTTCCAAGCTATGCTCCATTTTTTCCATCTCTACTACCAAAAGGTATGGAAGGAATTTCAATCCTTATTTTAGAAGGCCTTTATTAACAGTATAAAAACTGTTACTGAGACAAAATAATCAGAGCATAATATTCACATTCTGAACACCTTCCTTTAGTGAACACTCTCAGATGTCTACAAAGCTCAGCATATGCTCTTAATCAATTTTGTTAAGGAACACAACTAAAAATTTATTTCAAAGTTACTTAAACAGGAATTGGACCTTAGCTTTCTAATTTGTCAAGTTTTCACCTGGATGAAGACTGTAACTGAAATCTTTATAAAATAATTTAAATTTGAAGTTATATTCCATCAGTTAACTGTGTGACCACCATATTCTTTTCAGTATAAATATTTTCAGAAAAACAGTCTTTTTCTTAGCTACCTTTCAAGTGCCATATATTCTTCATTAAGGACACACTTAACTATCTTGAAGCCACTGAAACAATTGTGTGAAGCAAATCTATATATCTATCTAATAACCTTGAGTATGTGAGAAGGGAAAAAAAGTTGGGTTAAAGTCAATCTTTAGTCAGAAAACACTTTAGAGAAATGCTTTCATCATTGTTTTGTCTAAGCAAGTTTTAAGAAACCTGGTTTGGGTTTGAGTATGAATTTGCTTAAGAGCAGCACAGCACTCCAATGCTTCAGGGAGTTATAAATTAAGAAGAAATTGAATAATAAAGAAAGAAAAGTATCAACAGAAATACCTCTTCTGGGAGATCTCTGTATTGCACATCAGATGTCGCAAGGAGCAAAACTGGAGTAAACCTTGGGATGTTCTGCAGTAGTGTTGTAAAAACAGATTTCAGTGTAGGTCCAACAGTCTCCCACCAGGAAGGGATTTGTGGGATATATATGATACTTGGTGCTGTTCTTTGAGCTTCTCGCATTAACTGGTAAAATGAATGCTTGGGTAAGAGAACTAGATCATGTAGAACAGGCTACTAAATGATTACATATCAGTCAAACTGTCTTATGAAACAGGAGTACCTGATGCCAAAATATCAAGACAAGCCAATAAATGAATGACTCCTAACAATATGTTAAAATTTTCACTTTTACTAAAATACAGACATTGCTACAGAGACAGAAACAGACCTGAATCTCTGTTGGATTTCAAAACTAACTTAGATGTAACATAACTCCTAAAGAGCCTCAGAACTCAGCTGATGTGGTGGTGTGCCTGAAAAAAACAAATACTTACCCTTCAGCAAGATGCATTAGTCTGGAAAAATCGCTACACAACTGCGACTATCCCATTTTCAGTTCAGAGTGCATACACACCCAAGTCATAGAATCATAGAATCATAGAATAGATTGGGTTGGAAAAGACCTCCAAGATCATCAAGTCCAACCCCTGATCCAACTCCAATTACTATATCATGGCACTAAGGGCCACGTCCAATCTCTTTTTAAAAACCTCCAGGGATGGTGAATCCACCACCTCTCTGGGTAGGCCGTTCCAATGCCTGATAACCCTCTCTGTAAAGAATTTCTTCCTAACATCTAACCTAAAACTCCCCTGGCAGAGCTTGAGCCCATGTCCCCTTGTCCTATTGTTGGTTGCCTGGGAGAAGAGACCAACCCCCACCTGGCTATAACCTCCCTTCAGGTAGTTGAAGAGAGTGATGAGGTCGCCTCTAAGCCTTCTCTTCTCCAGACTGAACAACCCCAGCTCCCTCAGCCTCTCCTCATAGGACTTGTGCTCAAGTCCCTTCACCAGCCTCGTTGCTCTTCTCTGGACCCGCTCCAGCACCTCAATATCCCTCCTGAACTGAGGGACCCAGAGCTGAACACAATACTCAAGGTGTGGCCTCACCAATGCAGAGTACAGGGGAAGGATCACTTCCCTGCTCCTGCTGGCCACACTGTTCTTGATGCAGGCCAGGATGCCATTGGCCTTCTTGGCCACCTGGGCACACTGCTGGCTCATGTTCAGTCTCCTGTCGATCAGCACCCCCAGGTCCCTCTCCGCCTGGCTGCTCTCCAGCCACTTATATTTCATTTTTCTAGTTAAGGAAAACACATCACTGCACAAATTCAAATGTTCCATGAATTTTAATTATTTTACTCCATGTACTGCAGCAGTATAAGCTGTATATCTGTGTGTATAAACGAAACTATTCTTTTCCTCAAAACCTTGGCTTTCGACAGATATAATTAAAAAAAAGGCTACAAAATGTGCATGACATGCCGTCAGGTTGATGCAGAGCCATCTACTGGTAGCACAGTAGAAGCAACGAAAACAACTTTCTGGATCCCACTGAGACCAGCAGGATTTCCTGCCACAAAGAGGGGTTTATTAGCAGCACCTCCCAGCTTCCAAAGCTACTAACAACATTCTCCTTGCTTCATTTCAAATGAAAAACATGGCTATGTATAATATCCTTACTTGGTATCACCCCATGTAGAAGAAAAGTGGATTTAAAGACAGAAGTAAATGTAACAGAATGTTAAAATCAGGCCACCTCCATTAACAATCAATTTTGCCTACTTCACTACTTTGTATACAGTTCACCAATCTTACAAGATTAACAAGAAAAAAAAGCTACCTGTATACATGTTTCATCTGGTGATGTGCTAACAAACAAAGTTGGTGTGTCTAGTGTATAAATTGGAAAGTTTTCAAGGGTATGTATTACTGCAGCTGCCAAATCAAAAGCTTGCCCAGATTCTGGCTCTTCAACCAGTAAGAACCGTGGCCTGTAAGATGTTGGCTGGTCACGAGGATTTCTAAAGCAATAAGAAGAAAATAAGTTTAAAAATGAGGAATGAATAGGCACACAGATGTTAATTTTTTTCCTATGAACTTCTTTTTTTTGTAAATATACTCCCTGTTCCAGCAAATAATAAGTTGGGCTGTGACCAGGAAGACTAGCAAAGCCTCCTTTCTCACAAACTGGTACCATACCTCCACTAAGGAACCCTGCAATCCCCAGCATGTCTGCTATTCCTTTGGCTGGGTTAAGTAACAGCTCTTAAATCCAACAGGGGGACTGGCCAGCCAAACACACACACAACAACTGGTCAGTAACCTGATACGGGGCAGAACAACTCTTTCTCTCAGCACAAACCAATTCAGGTCTCTTTACTGCCCATACACAACCATTTTCATCATGTCTTTAGGTAACTGTGACGTGTCTACACCTGTCAAGGTTAGCTGAAATTTGGCCATAGTTCCTGGAGATGGTAGGAAGGAAGGTGCAAAACATATCTAGGAAAAAAATTAATGTGGGTACCGAAATACATCAGCAGTATCTGAAGAAACACATGATATGACTAGTTAAATTACAGCAGTACACTACATATGCATAAAATTTATATTTATTTTATTCAGTCATTCCAATGGTTTCATCTTGAGTAGTCTCTTCATTTTCTGGTAATCTTGCTTCACTAGTGTGAAACACACTTGTGGAGAGGTCAGCAGAGGAATAGAAACAGAGAAAAATAACTGATCCGACAGTGACAATGATAATATATTTTTTTAACAGTTGGCTTACAGGACAACCACAATTAAAACATCAAAATATTTACATAAACTCAGTAGGTTAAAGATACAAAATACAGACATTGTTCAGCAAACCATTTCTCAATTTTGTTTCTGCTATGTAGTCGGCTACAGGTTTAACAATCTTGGAAAGTAAAAGGATAAAAGATGGCTACACAAATCCACAGAGTTCTTTTAAGCTAAAAGGACAGAGAGCACATTTTTTAGGTCTTGAGTCTTCCAAGGAATAGCATGGATTAAAGCAACATGTTCTAATAAGCTGTGAACCCCTTTGACTCAGGAAAAGAGGTGTGGGCCATTCAGTTTGATGGGTTAGGGCAGTGTACTCAGAACATTAGTACACAGTTGTGTCTTCATGCTTACTTCTTGCAAATATTGATCACCACACACACAACCCATCCTGCACCCTTCACACCAGTTTACAGACCTGGCCATTTTAAAAACGTAACCACAAAGGGGACAAACATACCTGCTAAAAGTGCGGAATTCTGCCTTTTTGTGATCAGGTGTTTTATGAGTTGGCTTCTCTTCAGAGATTGATGGTGATTCCTCATCACTGTCAATCACATAATTTCCTACAATAGGATTTAAAGACAACAGAAGTTTGTTAACTTTCCTGAATAGTCCATATCCCTTGCATCAATACATCTTCAAAATCAGTGCTGGAAAACACTTCTCTTGTATTTCGTCATTTGAATGCTATTTTCTGAAGAGTTCATTCTACCACAGATCCAAGGAAATTACACAAAGCTGTCCTACGTCCCATGATTTGCATTAGGTATTACTCCGCTGTTGACAAAAACTTGTTTTTTTCCTTAGAATAAAGATGACTAAAAACAACTTCTGTAGTTTCCAGACACCTGAAAAACCCTTCTCCCTCCATGTAAGCATTTCTTTGGAAAGAGGTGCCTCATACTTTAAACGTTAGATCCGTCTTTGAAATTATAAATGCAAATTTAGCTACTGTCAGAAACTGGATGCTCCAGCAAAGAACACATAGTTGTCTGCTGCATACTGCGAGTCACTCACAGCTCCATCCTGCACTGTGCACATGCAAAGTATAAAACTGTGCTGTAATTACAGCTGACAGGTTTGTGTATGTTGACTGCACAAATCAAAAGTTTTTCTTCGGCAGATTTTTAAACAAATGGATGTTATTATCATACCTTGTTGTTGGTCCTTCTTTGGTGCAAGCTCTGCATGGGGGAATACTCTCTGCAAAGCTTGTAAAATTCTTTCCAGTGTGTTTTTTAACAGTGGCTTTGAAATAGCTGATAGCGCCCGCCCAGGGGAAGGCACAGCCCTCTGTGAAGCTGGAACAGTCTTCTGCATGGCCATGGAAAAATAATTTGCTTTTATTTTAATCAAATCCATGTTTATCTGCAGTCTCTCTCTACTTTCATACAGCTGAGGATAGCAATGCCGCAAAGCACAGAGGCCAGTTTCAGCACATAAGGCTTTAATATCAGCACCACAATATCCTAACAAACAAAACAAGAATCAAATGTTATGTCAGTCTCAGAATTCAAGGCCAAGATTTCTAAACTGCAGCGCTGAAAGACTTTGTATGCAGCCAAAAAATTACCAGATTAAGAGACAATTGAAAGAGTTCCTGCACTGCAGAGAAGTTCTGTTACATGGCTTACAGCCCGATATTCTGCACTTAAGAAGCAGCCTGCTCATCAAAACTTTGCTCCTGGGAAAGATGCCCCAAACCCATTCAATGTTCTGAGAGACAAAAAGAAAATTGAAAGCAGTATCTAACTTTGTTTGCTTTTAAGGCATGTCAGCTGCCTCACTGCCTTGCTCTGCAGCAAGGCATGAGAGCTCGAGTACTGCCTGGTAGAAGTTGAAGTTTCCTAGGACTCAAGTTGCGTGCAGTAACCTACACTGTTTTCAAACTTACCAACACATTCTTCAGCCAGTTCTTCAAGTAAATTGTCCGATGGCTTCGGGTTCCAGTCTCGTGTGTGAATTTTGAAAATCTCTTTTCTTGCCTGAAAACAAAACAGTTGCATTTTAGTTTGCCCTAATTTTTCTCTTAAAAAAACAACTACAACGCAAACCCACAAAACCTTTTACACTAATAAAAATACTTTTCTTATCTGCTAAACTTTTAAGTATTTTAAAGGTCAGTTATTAATATGCCCTTTGCATTTTCAAGTAGGAAAATTAATAATTCGCTACCTGTTACAACATTGTTACACTAAACTCTTGCTGGGGCCTGCAGCGAAATAAAAGGCATTTCTATCTTCCATAAAAAGTGAGTTTTCACAAGTGTGAGACCTAATGATGCTGGAGAAAAAAATGTAGCAAAAACCTTTCTCAAACGGAGATTTTTTTGTCAAAGAAAATTCTCTCAAACCTAGCAAAATTTCAATCTCATTTCTTCATCAGATTTGCTTTTCTGCCAGTTCATTCAAGTAAAAGTCCTCACACTTTCTTTCAAATTGCTAGAATTACTGCCAAGAAGAACAATAAGTATGACTTAAACTACTGTCACTAATCCAGAAAATGTCAAACATTGCCTATTCTCATCTCAGATCTTTGCAAGACTTTCATTGAAGTATTTCTTGGTACACAGATTAATTATGGCAGATTTCTAGAATTCTTCCACAGTGGGGAATCATGTATTAGATTTGTTTCATGACACCTCATTTTATCTTTCTGAGAGCAGATGAAAACTGGAGAGAAATGTTTGTGTTAAATGCACTGTTTGGTGTACTTTTACTAGCTTTCAATTCAATTCAATAAGCCTATTATCCTTTTACCAAAAAGTGCTAAGAAATATCAGTAATAGTCAGAGAGAAAACATAAAAAGAGAGGTCCAGCTTTGCACACTATCTCCCCACAACCCCAATATTTTTTGATCGCTCTACATCCATTTTTCATTGCTTAGGTATTGCAATTGAACTAGAAGCCTTCCAAGCACTGCAACTGTGCAGTGTACTTCACATATTAGTCCAAGTCCCTGTTAATAAGTTCCAGTAAGAACGTCAAATCCCGACGTAATTCACTCCAGTACCACCCTTGATCAAAGTTTTTGTTACCAACAAAGAACTCCTGTGTGCAGACCATTTCTTTCACTTCCAAGATGCTACAGCAGTACTTTATAACTAATTCATACATTCATTCTTTCTTAAACATTTCAGTGACTGGCAGCATCCCATTTTCTTCACTAGTTACTGCAAAACCAATACTAATTACAGAACTAATTACTTGTTGAAATCATCATAATCATATATATTCAGTACCAGGTTTGCCCTCCACAGTATAACACAGTCCCTCCAGACAGCCCTCTCTTGTCCAAGCTGTACACTACTGATGGAGACTTGCACAGCTTTGCAATGCTGCCTTGTTACAGGGGTTTGTTATAAAGGCAGACTTTGCTACATAAGCATTAAGGTTGAGTTCAAGTTTTGACCTCTTTGTTTGGCAAGTTGAAGCGGAATTCTCGTTCAAAGCGTCCAGGTCTTCGTAAGGCAGGATCTATAGAATCCAGTCTGTTGGTAGCTCCAATCACCACAATCTCTCCTCTACTGTCTAAGCCATCCATAAGTGTCAGAAGTGTCCCCACAACAGAGCTAACAGAAAAATACAATTTTCATACACTGGTTTAGGAAATTTTCTTCAGTTCCACATCACTCAAAAGGACAACTTCTTATTGATGAGATGCTGGTTAGCAGAAAACTTGTTATAAGACATAACAAAATACAGATAATGTATCACAGACCTTGTGCTGATATCAAGCTTTGGAATTGTTTTCAATTACTGTTTAAAAAATCATCTGAGATTCACTGGCACTGAATTACTAGTTTTCAGGATAAATGAATGTGTCACACCGAGTTAAGTAGGTTGCAGTCTTTTTTTCACAAAGATCAAGCAGCTTCTGTGTAGATACAAAACATGTCCTACCTATGAATTTGGTCTTGTTTACCAGACCGTACAGGAGCAAGAGCATCAATCTCATCAAAGAAAATAATTGAAGGTCGCATCTGGTAGGCCTACAATGAAAACACAGGAATATTGACATTAGTAAAACAGCATTATTTGAAAGACAAAATGCATGAAAAACATTCTGGTTGGAAAGGCACAAACTAGATTTTTCACACTAGCATCGGGGAACTCTACTAATTGAGCTAAGAGAGTGAAGAGGCACAAGTAACAAAAGACAGAAGCCTATGTCAACCCACTGAGACTGAGTGACAAGAAACAAATCATACCAGTAGTTTTTACAGTTATTTGGTAACCACCAAGAACAGAGACAGGACTTAACTCAGTTACAGGTTTGGGAAGCAACCCTCTGTTACCAATTTAAATGACCATGCTTTCAGCCTGCATCTGTTTCCCTCTGATCTATAGTCACCACCTCCTGCTTCTCGAAAATTCTTTTGTGACTGTGTGGCTGCTGGGATTTTTTGGTTTTTTTGGGGGTTTTTTATTAGAGGGCAAGGGAGTGGAGGTAGTAGTGGTGGCACGTGGCAGAATTTTCTTGTCTGTTTTACTAGTCTTTCCCAATACATGTCAAGATTTCAAGCCCCAAAACTCCACTGAAGAAGGAAACACTGACGGTCCCATTTCAGTGGAAGGAGCTGACAAAACATGAAAAAGAAGGAATTCTTCTCAACCACAGAAAATTATTTACAACTTGGTCAGAACGCAGGGCATGTTTCAACCTTACCTGCTCAAATAATAAACGAAGCTGTCGTTCAGATTCTCCTATCCATTTATTCAAGCATTCAGCACCTTTCCTCATAAAAAAAGTTACTCTCGTGTCACCTTGACTGCATTCATTAGCAAGTGCACGAGCAAGCAGTGTCTTTCCAGTCCCAGGTGGACCATAGAATAGACAGCCTCTACAATTTAAAAAAATACACTAAGAAAATGACATAAGAACAAACATCGTGAAAAGTACCTGTTACAATCCCCCATTCCTAAAACACACAACTCTGCTCTCCTAAACAAAATACTTAATGGATAAGATAGTGGTAATAGCTGAAGTGTGAGAAAAGTCAAAAGTGTTCCTACACAATTCAATAAGGCAGCAAACAAAATGAATAAAGAGGAGATGCAGAAATACAAAACCTTGAGAAAAGATTGTAGTGTCCCAAAAAGACACTTAAAACTTCTGATAAACCAACAGGAGTGATTGGAGCCAAACAAGAAAAAAATTCCAGTGCAGAATCTGAGACTGGGCTGACTTTACAATGATACACTGCATATACATTCCTGTTTTCACAAAAGGCATGATTTTATAGTAAAACATTTAATTCTCCCTTGAAAAACTTTAAGTTTTTGAAGAGGAAGTAGTCTAAACCTGGAAAGATATTCTGCATTTCTACATTTCCATCAACTAGAAAAGCCAGTACAGTGCTGCTTCAAAAAGAATTTCAATGAATAAAGAAGCAAAACACAGAAATATTTTCTTTTCGTTGTTTGCAATACTTTTGAAGTTGCTGAAGGCAAAGAATTTAAAGTCCTAGTTCAATATATCACAACTGAGTTTTGCTGACCAAGAATATATAAAGCTAGCAATTAAATCTCTAAGAATTTTGTTTTGTAACACAGAAGTCACTTAGCTGTGTAAGATGCAGAGAGTTTCTTATTTTAGCTCAAGCACAACAAGCACTGCAAGCTTTAAGTTGCAAGTCCTATCAGTTGTAAAACTGATACTTTAGCACTTGAAAAAAAAAAAGTTGGTGGGAGAGGCAACTGGACTTTCATAAAACAAACCACAGTTGACTATGAGTGGACAATTCCTTCCTACTTACAAACTAATCAAGTCCACTTGTATATGGGACTCTAAAGTAAACATTTCCAACTCCAGGTCTGAAAGGCAAGACACTTTTAAAAGATAATCTCACCACACAGTAAATCTTTGGACCTACATATATGCTGGATTCTATCAATTTTTTAAACATTACACTTTACTACTGTTAAAAAACAAAACAAAACAACATTGCTGAGAATTTTGAAGCATGGGAACTTATTGATACCTTAGTTGAATATTCCCCTGAAAATAGGCGAATGAGAACTTATAGTTTTAAATCGTGTCTGTTACCTTGGAGGTTCAATTTTCAGTCTCTCAAAGATTTCTGGATAAAGCAAGGGAAAAATGACCATCTCCTTTAAAGATGAAATGTGGTCAGAAAGACCACCCACGCCATCAAATTGTACCTAAAGTTGAAGTCAACAGAACATATTTTATATGTTAAAGAAAAATGCAACCTCAATAAGATTCCATCAGAAATTAGACATCAGCACAAAAGAAACATTCACGGCAATTTTCAAATTTCTTGAGAAAACTGTAAACTGAGGGAGCTGTAGAGGACAAACCTCTCACTGACATGAATCAAAAATACTTACTGCATCTATTTGCATTTGCTCAACACCAGCCAGACTGGCTCCAATTTTTGTGGTATTCTTCTTAACTCCCTTTAAGTCACCTTTCTGAAAGCTGAGCAGAAGAGATCTGACTTGAATTAAGGAGGAAAAAAAAAGTGCTTTCTAACTTATGATGCAGATGGAGGATTTCTGATTTTCTAATGATAGCAAGTGAATGCAGAAGACATTAAAAATCAGCATAAACTTCCTAAATAGTCAGATATTTATTCCACCTTTTATGTTTAATGGCCATGATTAAATAAAGGAAAATGGTCACTCCAGGCATTAAACCAAGTTAATTATTTTAACAACTCTTAGCACTTAGGAATATCCATGCCAGTCAACACAGCACATATAGGAATGCAAGCTTAGAACAAGTTATTCCATATGGAGAGACCATGGACTGACCTTGATCTGTATGACGGAAGAATCCCTCCCCTCCCCAAACACACTGATATGTTTCAAATAGTTTTACCTTCTACATTCAAAAAGTTACAGTCCAAGAGAATACTTATTTCAGTGGAGATCAACATTATAAAGGCTGCCCAGCACTCCTGGACCTTCCTGAGGACTTTGGAATGTGTGGGCAAGAAATGTCTGAAAGATATCAGGCTGAAAACTTTTTTGTTAGGCTGTTACTACAATAATTTTTCTAGAGCATTTGTTAAGTAACAAAACCTATTTTCCCTATTTATAACATTTTCTGTTGTGGTGATTTTCTTTCTGAATAAACCAAAGTAAAGTACAGAAGCAGTAAAATTTTACATTAAGAAATTACATCAAAGTGTGTGTCTCTACCCCTTTCCCCATTCTCACCTAGAAATCAAATTGCTTATTAAAAATCAACTCTAAAAATCCATTTTTAGACAGTCCAATTACAGTTGTCAATACCAACAGATATGATTAAGTATTGCCACAATTTAGAAAGAGTACAAGATGGAGATGGCAACACTCCATGGATAGGCATATGCAAAGTCCTCCCAAGTAGACCCCTCCCTCCCGCATTCTCCAATTTCATTAACCTTCTTAAATTTTTCTTCTTCCTCTGTATCTCAAAATTCTCATGATCAGATGAGGAAGGGGAATCACTGTTTGGGACCTCATATCTCTGTCTGCAAACATTGCAATAAACAAACATTCAAACAATTCAAAGTAAAAAATTAAAATGTGCACTAAGTAATAACAAAATTTAAGTAAACACTATCTCAGAGTTTACTTTGAGATATAATAAGTTTTCAGATCATCAGACTCCTTACGAATCTGATTTCAAAGTACATTATTTGATTTTTCTTAGGAAGGTAAAATGTTTATGCAAAGAAATTTATTAACCAAGCTTCTCCTTTTGTCCAATCTCTCTCTCACATACACAAATCAAATTTCACTTAGCATTATGTAGCCAGTCTGTGAACCATTAATCTTTTAAACTCATTTAAAAATCTGGCTTCAAAAATCCTTCCTTCAATAACTGTCTGCTCTCAAGGTTGCTAAACAAAGTGTTCCTATCTAGCAAGGGGTAGCACTCTCTCTGCTCTAACTGCTTACAGGATCTCATACTGTTTTGTCATTACTATTACAATTTATAATTTATAATTTCATTTAGCATTTTTCTTGTTTAAGGATACTTTCATACAGAAACATGAACTGATTCCAAAGAGACACCAGAATCATTGTTTGAGTGATTAAAAAAAAGTCCATTAAAACTTTCATACAGGCCCTCCCTCTATCTAAATTTTCTTTAGTTTTAAGAAAACAATTTACATCCCTCAATATTAAATAGTCTAAGATTTTCAGAGGGACATTCTGCCTTCAGTTCCAGAACAAATGGATTTCAGTTACAGAGTCTCGGCCACAACCCTCATCATCACCTTATCAATGACCTCAAACACAGCAGTCTACATTTTCAAATAAAACCTAACGGCTGGTAAAAAGGGTGGCCTCCCCCAGCCAGTGTTTGTTTTCTTTATTCCCTTAGACTACCATGGCAATAATCATACTACTGATCTATCATTATCACCCATCCAAAACCTCTTGAAAGCATTATTCAGTTTTTCAGACTGAAAAACTATCACTTAATCATACACAAACCTTTTATTCCCTTTGCATGAATCTCTCTCTCTGACAGGTGAAGATGGGACTGAAGAATTTCTCTTACATTTTCTTGGTTCTGTTGAAAGCAAAGGCAATTTTAAGAGAAAGCAGGATAGTCAAAGAGGCAGAAAACAAGACGTGTATCACCCACCTCTAAGTTCATGGGAAGTTTCAAGGGGGATGGGGGTTAATCAGTGCACAGTAGAAGTGAAAAAAGACACACCTGATTTTTTAGGAGAACTGAAAACCACATGAGTTAGATTATCAGGTCTCTTTAATTACTATTCTTTCAAGGATAGATAGGTCACTTTTTTTACTGAAAACAATAAGGATGACAAATAGCAAAAAAAAAAAAATTGAATGTCCACAGGATACATGCATTTAATGAATGAAGGTAAGAAATTTAAAGTTGAGTGTGGTGTGTGTGCATGCATTTCCACTTAAAAAAAAAAATCTCACTTCCATGCAAGAAATTTTCTCTTAAGAGAAACTTATAACCAACTTTCCAATGGATCTTGATAACGCTCAATAAGGCAATGCTTTTCAGTGTCTTCATCATCACTTTCTTTTGCTTCACTTCCTTCTGGTGAAATTACTGCACACAATGTTGAACTGTTTAAGTACTACTGCAAATTATGATATATTCAAAATACATGACATATATTCCCACCTGTCCACAGCCTTTTATCATGTAAGCTGTTTGGAAAAACATGGGGATTTCTAGGTTTTTTTCTCTGAATACCTGTGAGCTCACTGCCAGAACAGCCCTAGAATATTTGGCTGTAGCTTTTAATATCAATAGCAATACAGATTTTTTTAATAGATGAAAAATACCCAGTAGTTCAGTCCATCTCAATTGTTTAAGACAAGGCTTTTGGCTAGGGCATAGTCAAGGAAATTTAAAAGAGAACTAGCCTACAATGCTACCTGGATTGTCAGCTGTTTCTTCATCAGTTGCTTCCATATCTAGGCTTGCCTACTTTAAAGAAACAAGAAAGATCAGGCACAAACATGCAGAAACCCTGTGGGAATATCTGGTGCCTATATAGTATCATTATCAAGGCATGCCATTACACAAAAGAGTTAATTAAGGTACCGGAGGAAGGAATAGGAACATCACTCTGGCACCCAGGATTAGTAACAAGGATTTCTACTCTAAAATAGGGTTTAATAGATGTGAAAGTTTAACACTTAGCCAGATACAAAACTAAGTGTATCAATTTAAGATTTATCAGTTATCAGGTTAATAATCCAAGAGTGTGGTAGAACCCCAGACAAAGCTATTCCTAGCAGACAAAAAAAATCATACTGTCATTTGAGAAATGATAAAGTACTATGGTAAATTCTGATCGAAACAAACTACAAACTAATTCAGATCTAAACAAAAGCAACTATGAAAGCAGGCTATGAATATGTTTTAAAAACAACACCTGTCATTCAAGAGGACAGTGGAGTAAGCTAATTTAATAGAGCAAAACAGAGAAAGAGGAAATATGATTGATTGTAGTCTATCATTTTAACATGACTTTCTCTCAGGAGAGAGGACTGCTTGAGCTCACAGGCAAGGCTGGCACAAGAGAAAACATAGATAAAGCAGTTATCAGTGAATTCAGTTTTTACTAAGATCTGAAGTAAAAATGTAAGACCTGAAACAGCTGTTTGTAAACAGTGTCCATTCAAAAATCATAAGACAATTCAGAAAACATAGTATGTATTTCAGCATATCATTGTTCTTTCTTGTCTTCTGAAGAAGATATTTTCTTCACCCTTACAATGTAGTTGTGGCATAACAGTAAGATGTTAAACTGTAATTAGAAAGCAAGAATGACATTTTTGTTTAGACTACACTATGCTTTGGAAGTTTTTTTCAGCTAAATTAAAATTATAACTAAATAATTTCTCTATGTGAAATGCCACTCATAGAGAAAAACAGTAAATTAAATTAGTATCTACTTCTGTATGGTGGAACACTCCATGGTCTCCCATCCTTCACTGTCTAGGCCTCTTTTTTGTGTCATCCAGATAGGCAAGTACAAAAAAACCCCATTGAAAACAACACACATAATCAATATGATATTTTAATAAAAAGAAATCTCAGAAGGAAAAAAATAATTCTGAAGATCATAGGAGGATGACAAAAAGAAAATATGGCAGCTTTTCATAGTACTTAAGTTGTTCCTCATTATAGCATTAAGTCATTTTTAGTTTACAGCCTTCCTCAGACAACAGGTTGCTTATTCTTCTCTTAACTGGAATTAAGGTCTCGTGCAGATGTTTCATGACTATATACGCTAGAAAAAAAAAACAAACCTCCCTGCTGTTACACTTTTCAAACCTTTCAGAAAACAATGTCAATTTGGGCTTCACAGAAAGAATTAAGTCATGGACACGCAGACAGAAACACTAGGACTGCTTTGCTTTGCCTGTATCCAATGTCTTCATTTCTTAACTCAACAGGACATTATAAAATTACTCATAAGCAGGAAAGAAAAATTAATTAAACATGAAGGTGCTTCTGGAGCCAAGAAGATTGATTGAGAGGGCAAGTCAAATCTACTGAAAGTCACAACATAAAGTCATCGTTTCAGTTCACAAGAACCAGCCCACACATAAAAGATGCTCTGGTGTGAAGATCTCTCTGCAACTGGCAATCCCAAAATAAAAACACCAGTGGCCAATTTAAGCACTGGCTGTGACTAAATCTTTACACATGAAGCACCTGCCAAATACATCCTCCCACACACAGTCTCAGACCTGTAAGTTTTAAAACAAGCTGCAAGCAGGAGACTTTACCTGAGCAACTGCAATGGAACGTTTATGGAATGTTTGTGAAGTTGCTTGGCAATGCCCCAAAAAGTTCCAAGCTTGACCATGCCCAACCCCCAAGTCCCTGGTGGGACTCTGCTGTGCAGGGCACCTGCCACACAGCACCTAATGATCACAGAATCATAGAATGGTTTGGGTTAGAACAGACATTTAAAGGTCATCTAGTTCCAACACCCTGCCATGGGTAGGGACACCTTCCACTAGACCAGACTGCTCCCAGCCTCATCCAGCCTGGCCTTCCAGAGATGTGGCATCCACAGGTTCTCTGGACAACCTGTTCCAGTACCTCATCACCCTCACAATAAAGACGTATCATATAAGTAGCAGCACATAGGGATTTTTCAGCCTAACCACTGAATACATTTACCTTTTCTTGCCAGGAACAACAGCACCTTCTTCTGTTGTCAAAAGAAGGAGAAAGCCCCTAGACAATATTATGCCATAGCACAGAGGCTTGCTACTAAGGCTCATTTTAGTAGTTTCACATTATTAAAAAAACTACTTACTTTGTTCTAAGTTTGCCAAACAAAATGATTGATTTGTAGTGGTGTAACAAGTTTGTTGAAGTCTTCAGCTTCAACGGATCTCCAAATCCTCACTTTCTTTATCTTTTAATCAACCAATATTACAGAAAATATAACATGAAGATCGTTTGATAGGATTATTTTCCATAAACACGAATTAACTTGCATTAATTCTGCTACTCACTTTTAACTATTTATTAATTCAGTTTTACATTACCTTTTCCATAATTTTTACAAGGATTTACATGACACTGACAAGTCTATAACTACAGTGGCTGTCACTTTTATTCTTTTTAAATATTGGCATATTAACTTTCTATTGCACTCCTGAAATTTTCCCTGTGTAGCAAGAACTATTGAAAATCAACATAGTCAAACTCCTCAACAGGACGATAGAGGCTATCCAAACCTGCTAATTTAAAATGGTTCCTTTCCTGTTTCAAAGCAGAACAGAAACAGCTTCAAAGTTCCTAAAGTGTATGTAGCTCACAGCTCTCCAAGTCAAGCCAGTAAGAATTGGGAATGCTCAAGGTCTCCCATCACTTGCAAAAAGGCATAGAAAGCAATAAATATTAAAAAAAAAAAAAAATTCCAACTGTGATCCAGAAGAGAAGGTCACGAATACTCTTTGATCTGTAAGTTGCTAAAACACAATATTTCTGTTTCAGCAGATGTGGAAGCTGACATGTGGGGAACCTTAGCAAAACCTACAGTGTGGATCATCCATCAGATGTAAAAGTCAGGAGGTCTAAGCCCATCCAGGCCTTACAGCTATAGGCAGTTCTGTTATGACCAGCCCAGAAGGGGACGGTAACCCCGGTTCTTGTTAATAAATCCCTTGGGGTGGATTAGAGTGAAACAACACTGAATAATTGGTGTTTGTGAACATATATATGTAGAGTTTATTTTAGAACAATTTTGTTAAAAAGGAAAACAGGTGTATAGCCATTTTGGTTGTTATCATCTATAGTAATACAACAACATTAAAGCATAAAAATAACACTTACGGAAGTGTATAAGGAAAGAAAGAGAAAGAAAGGATAAAAGTAGAAAGATATATATATATAGTCACCACCTACTGGATCTGGCAATGAAACTTGTTAGTTGCAGCTTCAATGTCTGTTGGTTGAAGCGACGATCTAGATCCACTGTGGGTGGAGGAAGTCAAGTCAAGTCAAGTCAAGTCAAGCCAAGCCAAGCCAAGCCAAGCCCTGCCCAGCCCTGCCCCGCCCCACAAAAAAGCCCAAAAAAGCCACAAAAGGCCCAAACAAAAAATGTACAACTTTTCATTATTAGTTGGTTATCTTTTTATTGAAATCATAGGTGACACTAACTATGAAAAGGGAGGTAAATGAATTAATTGCTGGGAGGGTTGTTTGGTTTTTGTTTTTATTTCTTCTGTACAGTTGCTGATTTTTGCCTCTGAATTTTTTTTTTCTTTGAAAAGCAGTCAGCACACATGGAATTAGCATGATGTATAACTGCAAGTAATTTTTAAAATAAGACTGATTATCATTTGGGGTTTTGTGCTGTGTTTTTAAGGAGATAAAGGACAAAAGAAAGGTAATGCAGACATACATACAAATATCGTGTTAGGAACCTAGAAAAACACCTAGGGAGGTTACATGTCAAATTGGGTCAATACAGCATTGAAAAAAAATCCACATTTTATCTCTACTTGTTGTAATGTTGAACTTCTGAAATATGCAAGTATGCAAGTATGATTTAAAAGAATTATTAAACAAAAAGTAAAACATAAATTAAAAATTTAAACTAATGTCTGATAGAGTCTAGTACTAAAACAGTCACACTTCTATATAGCATTTTCTGAGATATGTTCAAGTAGGAAAGCAGCTGAGACCACTGGTGTCACTGAAACAAGCTGTAAAGTTAAACTATTGAATTGCCCTTGGCCAGATTAGCTAATATAAGTTATACATTTGAATTCTGTTCCTTTATGGTTAGCGTTTGGAAATGTGGAATGATCCAGCAACAATAAGAAATCTTTATAAATTTAATTCTGTATTTGCTTCTTCATGATTTTGCATTCTAAAACACTCAGGCAAAAGAAAGTCTGCATTAAGAGAACATCAGTGACTCATTCAGGAGATCAGCAATACCATATCTGAGATTGTTTCATAATGTTAATTTAGCTCAGCTGCATGAGTATCTTGCAAAACAGTGGGTGATTTAATAAGAGTATTTTTCCAGGAGACTCTCATCTCACTCAGTTCTGGGAATAAGTCAACAGTTTGTGTTGACAAAGACACTAAATGTGAGGTAGCCAATCCCTCACTTGCTGTAGAAGATTAATTTGATGTAGTGAATGAGGTAGCACTTGCAGAAGGTTTGATACACTAAAAAATATGAGTCTTGCCCAGAAAAATTTAAACTTCTCTTTCTCTATAAAATTCCAAGGCCATATTGGAATAATTTAAGTAATTTTTTTAAATTATCATTAATTCTGTTTTTCTCATTTTCTATACCCAATTTTAAATCCTCCCATTTTGACTTGTCACATTTTAAAATCTCATAGTTGTAATTTAACATTTCATAGACTGTAGGTCTTAAAGGAATTGCAGCTACCCACAGTTAGTCAGAAGTTGAGTTATAGGATATCTGCTATTCATTTAACCAAAGTCACTGTGATAATTTGTCCTACTTTCCTCTTTTATTATTCTTGGAACTTAATTCCAGAGGGCTATAGGCCGTCTAAGCTTATGAAGATACTTCCTCTTAGGCATCCAAAGTCAGTGAACAATTTTGGCTATACTTCGTTTCCATCTAATATATAGAATGAATGGAAAGTGAAATCCGTATATAGTGGCTGAATCGTCATAAAAAGGTGTATGTTGGCCAGTTCTCCAGCTCTTTGCCCCACTTCCTGAGATAATGAAACATCCATAGTTGGACCTGAATCTCCATCAGTAGTCCTCCATTCGAGGTGTTTGATGTGAGTTGAAGAATTTCAAGGAACATCACAAAATGAACTTATTGTGCAGCCTACATCAGTTAAACTCACTTCCAGCAAGCAAAGATGACACCACCGACTTGGCTCATGAAAGTAAAGACAAATTAGTGGTGGTTTGTGAAGTGCTCAGAGCAGAGTGTGATAAAGTGCAAGATCACATGTTGAAATGGGAAGAAAATAATAGTGAATTATTTGGGCACAATCCATTCTATCCAATAAATGAGGGAAGGATATATTGAAAGAATAGTTTATGATCTGATAATGCAAGGCCATTGAAAGGTGCCTTCACAGAGGGGCATGTTAAGTTTGCATGGATATTTTTAATTCTGACCTCTTCTAAATGTTCTCATCTTTGCTGATCCTTAGGCAATGACCATGTGCATGTCTGTTTCTGTGCCATTTCATAGGTTTTTATTAAAAGTATCTACTTCATATTACACAAAGATACATAGATGCCATTTATTTCATGTTACATATCATTATGACTTTCTAGTTCCCTAATTTGTTGAAACTGCTAAACATCTAAATTCAAAGTATCCTTAACAGATACACACTCCAATTACCCAAACATACCTGATATATGTATTCACTATGGAATTAGTGTATAAACAAGCTTAAATAGATATAAGAAATTAGGCATCCAATTGAGCAACTTCCCGTGATGCTTGCTTTTTCTAACCATCTGGTCTACAACATAGTGTTATTGTCATATAGGCTTTTTTTGCCTTATGACTTCCACTTTTATTTACATATTAAAATATGGATTTAAATAAATGACTTGATAAAGATCAGTTGAAAATCTGTGGCACTGCCAGGCACCATATCTGCATTTACAAATCCCTAGTTGGTGCTTTTGGTCACAGTAAAATCCTTCCTTCCCTTTATTACTCAGTAGAATTCAGTTCTTACAATATCACTCCTATAAAATTTTGCTGAGTCTTGTGATTTTTTAAATTTATATAGCAAGAGAAATGTTTTTCCAATAGCAATATTGAGTGAAATTAAACGTTGATTCCTGTCTTGCTTTCAGCAGGATCCAATCTCCAGCTCAGCTGTATTCACTTCAATCATCACTTGCATGGACTTTACTTCCTACAGCATTTTAAATGGTCTAAATTTTACTTCAAATTTTCATTCTGTGTACATCAGCACCTGTGAGAAAAGGAACGTTCTTCATGTACTTGTTTTTATTTGGGGGCTTGTTCCAGTGCAAAGCCAAATCCTCTTAAACATTCAGTTGGTTCCCAGCATTATTGATGGATACCCTATACTTTAGGTAGCTATGAATAAAGTCTTTATCCATCATTCCGATCTCTAAATTTTTTATATATCAGTGAATTGATTATTCTAGCAAGAGGTTTTTTATTCTAAAGTGTTACAATACAGTGCCCTGTAAAATTTTCACCTATACAACATACAGCAAACCAGAGTATCGTGTAAGAGATGTTAGGCTGGGGCCATCTACTGGTTGTGTTGCTCAGCTTTTATTGACAGATTCGAAAACCACTTTACACATGTAATTATAAAATTACTACTGTAATTATAAAAATAACAGCATATATTAATACATTAATCACCTAAGTATGTGATGCTTCTTGTGTAATATTTGTTTTTAAGTTTAAATATTCCATGGATTTAATATGGCCAATCATAAAAAGAAAAAAGATTTTATTTACTTTGCTTTCATAAATGAAATAAAAATAGAAGTGAAGAGGCCTAAGAACATTCTTACTTCCCAGTAACATCAAAAAGAAACCAAGGAATAAAGTAACATTAGTGCCAAGATTTAAGCAATTTAGTCTAGACAACTTCAGTATTATTGCTGTGATGAAGAGGGTAAATAATTCTTATTGCCTTATTTGATGTTTTGTAAGATTTTACCCTGAATTTGTATGTGTGTTCTAAAATAGCTAAAATGAACTATGCACAGTTTTCTTGGGATTAAAGAAGATCTGTCAACTTTATGATGTTCTTCAAAGGTTTTTATTAAAAAGAAATTCAGACAAAAAAAGAAAGTAGCAGATGAACAGAAAAATAAAGCCTTTAAAACCAGAAGTTCTATAAATGAGCTATTATGAAGTAAGAATAATCCAGACAAATTAGTTGGGAGACCAAAAGTATATAATGATGCTGTTAAGTATGTATTTACTCATTTATTATATGAAAATATTGATAATTATTTATGCTGTAATTTAGTCTTATTTCTTATTTTAACTGTCTTGAGGAGCAAGAGAGCATTTTACAGATTTTACAAGTTTAAGCGAGATCCTTTGCACCTATTAAATGACTATATATATATGTTTATGTATATGATGTATATACACAGAGACACAAAAATATATACAAATTAATTCATTATTCTGATGTCTATACATACATATACCTGCACGTATATATACATATATGAGCAAATATATACACGCACATATGCAACATATGTATATTCATCTATATCTGTATATACATATGCACACATGCATGCACATGCATGCACACCTATATATCACACCTAACATCAAACATGTACATTGTACACTCTTGGTTAAACAAAATCCTCTGTTGGCTCATAGTTGTACTGGGATTAAACATTATTCACATTTGCACTCAGCAGATCCACCAGCAGGAGAGACTTTCTAATAGCAGCTGTAAGTGGCAAGTAAATTTTTCAAGAAATGCAAATTGCAATTTAAAACGTTTAAAAGGCAGATAAACAATAAGACTTTTCAGCATAAACAGGAAAGTGTTATGTATTGCAGGTTTGGAGACCAGACTATGAGAGCTAAAACTAGGAAGACATTGCCACCACCACAAACGGAACTCGTAGACACACCTGCAAGAAAAAGAAAAAAACTGGTTTAGGAATTAATCCAACCAACTGTTATTTTACACCTCATTCATAAGAGTAATAATGCATTCTTTGCCACACTGGAGTACCATTTGTCATGCTGCTGCAAGTTCACCCAGGATATCTGACTTATTGCCTACAAGATAGGCGTCTTTTCTAAAATACTTGTTCAGGCTCTTTCTGTCATCAAGGGGGGAGAGACAGGCAGTACATGAACACCATTTGTTCACATATGATATTATGGGTTTTTAAAATTCAGGGCTGGGTGCTGTGCTAGTTTTGGCTGGGGCAGAGTTAATTTTCTTCACAGTGACTAGTGTGGAGTTATATTTTAGATTTGTGCTGAACACAGTGATGATAATAGAGATGTTTGTGTTATTGCTGAGCAGTGCTTACACAGAGCCAGGGACTCTTCTTGCTTTTCATACTGCCACACTGGCAAGGAAGTTTGGGCTGCATGGGAGGTTGGGAGGAGACACAGCTGGGACAGGTAACTCAAACTGTTATTCTGCACCGGTTGAGAGGAATTTGCTGAGGTCATAGAGCCTACTTTGGCTTCCCAAGCGTTTTTTTAAAAAAATTTTCTTTTCTCCATTTGAAGCCCTGAAGTCAGAATCCTCTGAAGGCATCCTGAAGAGAACCAGAATATGATTGCTGCCAAAAAGGTAACAGTTTGCAGGTTTGGTCCTGCGGTTGTTTGATCGTGGTAATTTCAAACTGTAACATACCTTCCTGTCAGCTTCTACTACCAAACTCCCAAAATGCCTGCTCAAATAAACATTAGTGCATAATGATCTCATTTTTATGTCTAACTGGTTATGTCAAACACTTTGAAAATTTTGATTCTCAAGATTATCAGCAGCCTGATGAAGCCTGTCAAAGTTGCAGGCTTATCACTATCCTGAAGTACTACCAAACAATATGCCAAGTAACAGGAATTTTTCCAGTCTGAAGAACTCATGTCCTTGAAGTTGTTACTGTAGATATACATGTAAGCAAACACACATTTGAAATCTCACAACATAAGCTTACAACTGTTGCTAACAAGTTGCCAAATATTGTCTCTCTCAAAGTGCAAATTAAAATCTTACATTCTATTAGTATAGCTGTCCAAATAGATGATTCTTTTTAGTTAAATAATGTGTTTTCTTGTGTCTTTGACCTCATTTTTTTTTATGCCACAGCGAAACTCCTGCAGGTGCATTTAATGTGACCACAGGAGTCAAAGGCAGCAAAGGCTTAGCAGCTAATTCATTCTGCTCCTTGATACTGCACTATTCCTCCTGAAGAAAGCTCAGATGAAGGCCTTTTACCAGATCTACCAGAAGATTGTTCGACCCTCCATCAAGTCTCTGAAAGGAAAACCGTTCTGCCCTTCAGCATTTACCTTAAATTCAGCCCTCTGCAGACAACCTTCTTCCCTCCTAGGTTTTACCTTTTAACATATACAGAGTGTTGCCTTTTCAGAGAGATGCACTCTACACTCCAACTAACTCAGTCCCTCTTCACATTCCATCCTGGGCTTCAGCGTCAAGTCGAGGCTTCCACTTTCCGGTCATTCCAGGCTCTGCAATGCTGGTTATATCCTTCCTTCCTCCAGCAGCCTTCTCTCGAGAACCCACATGAAGACGTGCTTAGAGAAGTCCTCCGCATCGCTCATGCACAAAACAGCCACGTTTCGCCTTTTACTCTCCCAAAAAGCGTGGGGGGGGTGGCAGCTCTCTCGGCCACCTGCTCCAACCATAACACTCACTCCTTCAACTGTCCGCCTCTGGCACCAGGAGGAATTCGCGGACCCAAGCGAGCGGCCGGGCCGCGCTGATTGGCTGTGATGGGGCGAGCGGGGCGGAGCCGGGAGGGGCCACCGCGCTGATTGGCTGCGGCGCGGTGAGCGCGGAGCAGGGTGGAGTCGAGTCGAGTCGGCAGCCGTTAGCGCGCGGTTTGAACATGGCGGCGGCGGCCGGCGGCGCTCTGCGAGCGGGGCAGGGCCGCGGCGATCCCTGCGTCTGTTCGGCCCCGCTGGCTGCGGTGGAGGCCGTGGCCGCGGACTGGATGCTAGAGTTCGCCTGCTCCTGCCTGTGCCGGCACTTCGGGGATAGGAGCGGGGCGGAGTTCCGGCGCTGGAGCGACGTGTCGCAGGGTGAGTGGCAGTGGCGGCTCGCGGGGTTCCGCGGGCGCTCGGGGCTCTCGCACAGCCGCTCCCGGGCCGGTGTGTCCTGGCTCCAGCAGCGCTGAGGAGGTGGGTATTCGGCTCTTTCGAAGACTTCAGGAGATTCTCGGAGCACCGGGTAACCTGCTGAGGCCGTTTGGTGGTGTCGGCAACACTCGCACACGGTGGCAGTGAAGCGGTGCATGCCGGCTTTTTGTTTGCTTGTTTAATCTGCCGGTGTTCGAGCTGGAGTGTTGTGAGATAATCGCGGCTCCTGTGAGTTAATATTTTGGTTGAATGAGACTGAACCTTTCCAAGAAAACAGTGATTACGGAGGGCTCGGTGGTGGGGACTTTCAGAATTTGAGGTGAATAGTCCTTGCTGTTAATCTGTCATCTTGATCCCAAGAACCTTACGTGTTCAACACGACTGCCTGTATACCATCTGCAGCTGCTGAAACTGAGGCCTCGGATGCTGAAGGGTGAAGGCTATCGGGAAGCTGAAGAGGATTTAGTGAAGAGATGCAAACGTGGTAAAAAGCAACCAGAGTAGAATTAAACACACCAAGTTCCACGAGTTTACTTCAGGGTTATGATAGACGACTAGAAGTGTTTCAAGGAACTATAGTCTGGCAGACAAAGGTGAAATGCAGTGTGATAACTGGATTTTGAAAGGAAAAACATATATTTAAATTGAGAAATCCACATAAAAGCAAGAGTAGTTAACAGCTACAAGCAAATGTCTAGGTCTCAGATAAATTTGATGGATTTATGATTTTTTTTGTGTGTGTGTTAGAAATAGTTTTCCTGAAGATACCAGGTTAGAACTTTCTCTCTCTGTGTGTGTTCTTAACTCAAGTGAATGTGATACTATGACTTGTTTAAAGTTCTGGAAGGAATCGAGTACAATGGCATGCAGAATGATTAGTAAGGAGGTTGATATGAGATATTGTAAAAGGTAAGGAATCTAAAGATAATTAGGTACATTGAATGGTGAGCTGCTAGATTAAATTATTCATGGCACTTCTCTATGTTTGGCCTTGGGACTGTAACTCAGCAGGAGAATTGTACTGAAATTTCCTGAAGGTGGGAAGCAGAGGAATTGTACTGAAGTTTCATGAAGGTGAGAAGCAAAGGCACTGCCCATGCAGACACAGACTGACATGTCTTCTGAGAAGAACTGGAGGCTTGAGGACTGTAGTAGCAGAAACAATTAATTAAACTGTACAGAACGCAAGGTCATATGGAACCGAGAACTAAGAGGAAATTTTGAACTTGTTCCTGCTCTGTTCAGCAACAGAGGAAAGAGTTGGGCATATTGGTGCTGTAAGATTATGAAGTCAGTATTATATATGTCTGTGGGAAAAGCTAAGTACAGCCATAAGATTCCATTAGAAAATTGGGTGTGGGTTTTTTTTTTATAGAAATACAGAACTATTACTCTTGCATTTGTCAAAGCGAGACTCTGCTGAAATAATGACTGGCTGTCAACAAGAGGGTCAATTCAAACTAAAGGAAGGGCAGAAAGGAAAGCAAAGCAAACAAGATGAGCAATTTTATTAGGAGATAAATAATATTTTTTTATACCTCAGTATGCTGCCATGTAGAAATAGCTAGGTTACCTGGGATTAAGGATTTAAAGACAGCATGGCAAGGTTACATGCCTTGCTTATTTTATCCTGTGGTGGCAGGGTGTTACAGTCTATATGCCTGAACTAGCTTGTGTAGGTACCTACATGGCAAGGAACTGGATTTCTAGAATTTCTAATGAAAGGCTAAGATGAGAAATACATTTGAGTTGCAACAAGGAGGAAAGTGATTTATGATTGAGAACACTATTAACAAACAAATTAATAGAGAAGCTGCCCTGAGTGTGTGGAGGGAGAACAGTCTAGAAAAGATTACTAAGGCTGTGTCTCTTTCTGTTTGTCTGCATTAATAGTGAGTAATTACTGCTAAGGACCTGGTGTCCAAACAGTAAGGATTTAAAGGTTTCTTTTTCTTTGGAGTAGCTCTAAAGGAATTCAGTTTGTGTAGTCAAGACTGTTCCACTGCACAAACCAAGCACAGAAGGTTTGCTTTAAAGACACGCCCCTGCTCTGAATTAAAGTGGTAATGTATGTGCACCTTATGAGAACAGAGAAAGCTGAAAGATTTCAAGCTGCTTGCCAAGATGACCCCTTTTATTCTGTGGAATTGTTCACCTATGCTATTCTACCTGCTTCCAGAATTTCAAAGTTTTGCCTTCATCTTCAGAGTAAGGTGTTCATCTCTATTATTAAGCTTGTCCAAACACTTTCTGAAACTGAACTCTCTAGTCTGCTATGGAAGGTGCATCATGGAAGTGATCACAATGAGTGGTGCTTTACTGCTGTTCTAAGTGATGTATTTTTTTTACTTCATATTTTGGCTATAGGAATTAAAAACTCTTGTATCACCTGTCCTCACTGAAACCATTAGAAATGTTCTTCCAACTCCAAGTGGCAATATTCTGCTTGATGTTAGCTTAGGTAATCATTCACGGCTATTTTCTTCGTAATTTCGTGCTTATCTATTCTGCATAGGAGATGGTTATACACTGATATTCAAGTAGGCTGAGTACTGTCAAGTAAAACATTGTATTATGTGCTCTAGTTGTTTCATTGCAAAACTCAGGGGTTCCATGCTCCATAATCCTGGCTTTTTTGCTAGGATGACACTGAAATGTGTACGTAAACAATTCCTGGCCTAGAGTGTTCAGTCTGCAACTTGGACAGGTAACATGACATGTTCTTCATAATTCTGTGATTTTTTGGGGGCACAAACGGAAACACAGGAAGTTTCATCTGAATACAAGGAAAAACTTTACTTTGAGGGTGACTGGAACAGGCTGCTTAGAGAGGTTGTGAAGTCTCCTTCTCTGGAGATATTCAAAACCTGTATGATTGTGATCCTGTGCAACCTGCTTCACCTGAACCTGCAGGGAGGTTGGACTACAAAATCACAGAATGGGTAAGGTTAGAAGGGATCACAGCAGGTATAGATGATATCCAGAGGCTCCTTCAAACCCCAACTGTTCTGTGATTCACTCTTCATTTTGAATGTTACTATTTTATGCTGTGAAGATGAATTACTATATCCAGCCCAATAAAATAAGAAATTCACAGTAACCAGCATGATGGGTATAAACGCATGACAGTTCCCATTCTAAAATATGTAAGAATCCTTGTGACCTTCCAGCCTTGAAAGGAGGATTTCTCTTGTAGATGTACATTTCTGACTGAGCTTTCCTCGTAGCTTTTACTGCTTTTTGTCTCTTAAGTTTCTATAGCAACATATAAGCATTACCAGTCTGCCCATGGCTCATGGTTTGTGGGCATTCTGTGCTCTGGAGCAGACAGATGTCTTTTGTAGTAAGCTACTTACCAAAACAAAACTTTATTTCAATACCATGGTCTTTGAATTTGATTGAATATAAGCCTGTGATACATTTTCTTGCTTCTTTGGAGAAGGGTATATTTTTCTACTTCTTAAATATTAAGTTTTTTTAACATGGACAAATACTAATTAAATGTGCTTCATTGGTTTCTTAATTAATTAAAAAATTAGTAGATCATTAAAGTCTGATAACACAGTGTCTATTATATGTCTAGCCACATTGTGGCAGTGCTGGAGCAAGACTGACTTATGATTTGTCTTCTTTTCCAGCTCTTATCAATGGCTTTTTCAAAATACCTACACATCAGAAAAAAACAGTTTACCTCTGTCAGCTTTTGATAAGAATTGCAAAAGGAAAAACCCTCGGTAAGTACTCTGATTCTTTTTTTTTTTCACTTGTCTAAAAATATTTGTGTGATCTTGCACAGAGGTGTATTAGATATGCTTTCACAGAGCCTTTACTGTACATGTTATAAATACATATATAGATAAGTATATGTAAATAAATGGCATGAACTCCACATTTTGGACTGTCTTTATTCCTCATGTGACTGAGTTGTATGCAGGACCAGTGTTTCTGTGCTGACTGACTTAGCTGCTCTGAGTTTAAATTACTATATACTTCTTAAATTATCGGTCTGTTTTTGTTAGGGTAGCATCAACAAAAGAAATCTACTGGAAAGACTGACTAGCTATTAGTGAGCAATACTTGCAAGTCTAAAGCTCAGGATGTACATTCCTTTTTGCACACATAACTAGAGGTTAAAGTAGGACTAACAGTAGGAATAAGAATATGAATGAAAAGGATGACTACCCTTGTTTCCTACAGAAGGCTTTAAGACTTTCAGCTGGCAGCAGGTCCTTGGGGCTCTTTTTCACTACCACGTCTCCTCTGGCTGTATTTGCAACTACGTTGTTGATTTGGCCAAGATGATTTTGTTTCACACTGGAATTTTTGGAAGACATATTTTTTTTGCTGCAAATTTTCACTGTTTGATAAAACTCATTGTAAGACTTAAGAAGCAGTCTTGCTAGCATGAGCATAGAAGAAGGAAATGTATTCTAGCCTAGCAGTGCCACAAAGGCTTGTTTTTATAAAATTAATTTCTCTATGTTACTTGTCAGGTAATAACAGTTGCCTTGACTTATTTTAGCTTGAGAATCAAATTCTAATATTTAAAGTAGTTAATTTTTTACAAATTATGAAACTTTTCTGATAATGCTCTAAAACTATATTAGTGTATATAACACTTACAAATATGGCTTTCCTGTGTGTTTTTCTTATCATTGTAGAGAATGACCTGTGTGGTGAGGAAGATTGTATATGCTTAGTAGGTATTATGTCAGGTGTAGCTCCACAGTGTACATGGAAAGCTACTACATGCTAGCTTTCCTATTTTTTTTCTAATTATTAAAATATTTAATCTGTACTGAGTCTTGAAGCAGAGTAGGCTGTTTCAGGTGCCAGCTCTTTTAAACACTTTGGTTTTACAGTATTAAACTTAATATTAAGTGTCATATTACTTGACTGAAAGAATAATTAAAGAAACACAAAAGTGGGGTTTTTTTAATTATGTGTATATATGCACATAACACTGAAATTTCACTGACTGACTTATTGTAGTGAGTATAAAGTAATTTTCATTTTTTAAGTATTGCTTAAATTGTTTACTCATTCCTTAATGAAAGGAATCAGTTATTGAGCGAGATTCTGCTGATGTCATAAAATGAAGGAATAAGTGGGCCTATAGTTCTGTGAACATCTTGAGCTAAGCTGGCAGTAATGTGGGGAAAAAAACACTTATTCACCTGCCAGCTCCTCCTGCTTTTTTTACATTCACTTGTGCAGATGTGTGCAATGACCAGACTGGGAAAGTGTTTTGAGAGTGTTAAGGGGATGACTATTTGGCTAGGTCAGATCTCTGCCAGAACTGATCACTGATCCTGCTCACTGGGAGTTTATACAAACCTTGGTGTTGGCACAGTGGTACACTGACATGGGAAGTTGCTTCTGCCTTTTCAGTGACACTCCTGTGTTAAACTGTTTGAATTTCCCTCTTGGTTTAAGCACTTCACATACAACAAAAACTTAAGACATGGAAATACAGTGATAGATTCAGGGGAAAAAAACCCAACCTTAGGATGGTGGTTATGTTACAAAAATTAACAGTATCAATACCAAATGTTTTGATATCTGATGCTAAGCTTACTGTATTATTAATGCCAGCCCAAAGACCTAATGCTGAACTCAGCACTACTGCAAGTGGCATTTTAGGTGAACTATAATTAGCTGACACGTAATATCCCTTAAAAATGCAACAGTAATGTCATTAGCAAGGGTAGGAAGAACTAGTCTTTCTGAAAAGAAGATAGTTACTTCAGGTTCTTAAACACACCTGGAGAGAGACACTAAAAATTATTTGAGGAAAAAGGAATTCAAATTATGTATAGTACATATTACTATTTTGCATATAAATACTGTAATATTTTTAACTTTATCCTTTACTTTTTTTTTAAAGTATTTTTTTTTTTCCCCTCTAAGAATTAGAGTTTGAAAATGGTCGAACAATTTCACCTTTGGAATCTGCTCTGGCTTTCTGGACTTTACTTGAAAAGGAAGAAATTAAACTGGAAAAGCTTCATGAAGATATTCATCGCTTGATTCAAATTCAGGTCTGTGTGACTTACTCAAAATGCTTCAGGGTGCTACCTATTCATTGGGAATGAGTAGCTGGAAAGCTGCCCAGCAGAAAAGGAGCTGGGGGTGCTGATCAACAGCCAGCTGAATACAAGCCAGCAGTTGCTCAGGTGACCCAGATGGCCAATGGCATCCTGGCTTGGATCAGAAATAGTATGGCCAGCAGAACCAGGGCAATCCTCATCTCCCTGTACTTGGGACTGGTGAGGCCGCACCTCAAGTACTGTGTCCAGTTCTGGGATCTTCACTACAAGAAGGACATTGAGGTGCTGAGTGTGTCCAGAGAAGGGCAGTGAAGTTGGGGAAGGATCTGGAGCACAGCTCTTATGAGGAGTTCAGGGCAGACCTTATCACTCTCTCCAATTACCTGTAAGGAGGCTGTAGCCAGGTGGAAGTGGATCTCTTGTCCCAGGTAACAAGCAACAGGATGAGAGGAAATGGCCTCAAGTTGCACCAGGGGAGGTGTAGAGTGGATTTTAGGAAAACCTTTTCACACAAAGGGTTATAAAGCATTGGAACATACTGTCCAGGGAAGTGGTAGAGTCACCATCCCTGGAAATTTTTAAAAAAGCATGTGGATATGGCACTCGAGGACATTGTTTAGTGGTGAACATGGTTGTCCAAGGTTGATTGTTGGACTTGATGACCTCAAAGGTCTTTTCTAACCTCAAATATTCTATGATTCTATCTTACTAAAACATAACCCCTTTTACAAAAAGCTTGGGCTATTAGCAGACTGAACTGAATTTTCAGAGTTTTAATACAGAGTAAATAGATCTGTACAGGGGACCTTTTTCTATCCAAAGTGGTTCCTGTTTGTACCAGTTCAAATTTGTATCAAAAGCTGCCAATCTGAAAAAAAAAAGTATCAATTGAGATCTATTTCAAAACACTAGTATCTTGAGCTTTAAAATATGTTATGAATAGTTTTTTTTTTTACTTAAAAATCATTATTTGTATTAGAAAACTTTTGATTTCAAAGATGAACATATAAAAACATTGTCAGCTACTGGGAATGTGAAAGTATTTCAGGAAGAGAGGGAAGCAATGCTTAGTGGGTAATATGGGACACTTTGCATCAATGAGAGTCTTTTTAAACGCCTGATGGAGAGGCTTTATACATGAGGTTTAATATTACTTCAGAACTAACTTTTATAACTAGATAATTGTTGGTAACCCTTAAGTATATAATAATCTGAATTTTGGAAGTCTTAGAAAACTGTAGTATTGTGATTTTTGTTTTTTTTTTCTGATTCTCAGGTGAAAATTATTTCAGCATATCTTGTAATTATATTTGTTGTAGATTGTAGCAGTTCATATGGAAAATGGATATTTTAAGGAAGCTACCGAACTTCTTGAAAGGCTGTTTACAGACTCTGAATCAGATAAGGTAGTTACTTTCTTAAGTTGCATTAAACTCTTTTATTTTCAGTGGAGAAAGATGGGAGTGGGTTTCCAAAGCTAGCAAATGCTACCTACATAGCTTTGACCTGATTGTTGTCTATGTGGGACACCAATGGGACTTTTAAATACAAAAGGAAGTTTTTGGCTAGGGGATTGATAGAAATAATGGGTGATCTGGGGGAGTAAAATGCATCCAGCAGTTGTTTTTTTCCCACTTAATATGAGGAGTGAGGTGGCACTACAGATTCTGGGAATTTAATAGTGCTGTGTTCTCAGACCAAAGGCAGTATAAACATGCTGGTTGAGGCATAACTGCCTAATAATTAGTCTGCTGCCTTCTATCGCAGTGGACTCTATTGTCACCTCTGTTGATTAGTGTTCTGTGTACTGAGGCATCACAGGGAAGGAAAACTCATTAGCTTCTCTAGTATGGACTGAATGTTATTATGCCTCTACTTGGAAAAGACAACATAGGTGAGTCGGCACACTTCCTGGTTTGAAGTTGACTGCATCATTCAGAAAGATGCTAGCTTGAGTGCATATCTCTAAAATAATAACTAGTGCACACACCTGAATTTGATGGGGTGGAGAAAAGAGCAAAAGACTGCAGGCAAAAAATAAAAAAAAAAAGGTAAAAATACTGCCTGTATCTTCATCTGGTATATTAGGATGTGTGTTCTATATAAGTAGTAGCATGTACATAACTTATTCTTCAGATACACTCCTCATTCAGAGGATTCGGGTGTTTGGGAAGTGTAGGCTGTGGTAATAGTATTCAAATTCATAAATAAAAATGCAGCCTGTACACAGAAGTTAATTCTCTTGGTTATATTGGTTTCTGTAAGATTCAGAGTGATTGGTAGGCAAAATGTGAATTTCTGATTATCAGTATTGATGTGTCCTTAAGGCTGCTATACTAAGTAGTCCTTTTCCTGAACACTGTACACCCCTTGCAATGGCAGTGTTTTTGAGGTAGCAAATGAGAAAAGAGAACTGAGTAATGAGTGGCTTTTACTGGGTGTTTTTTGCTCCATTGACAACCCTGCTTTCAATGTTATTTATAAAGAAAATGAAGATGGGGATCTCTGGAAAATTACACTTTACCATTTACTGACTACATAAAGTAAATACCTGGTATTATGCCTATTATACTTTAGAAACCTGTCAAACTGTGGTATGAAGTTATATAGACATATAACTTCAGGAAACTATATAATCATCATGTTTACTTTCTGTACGTTCTGTTTAGCGTAGATACCAAGTTTATTGCAGGATTTGTGTTTTATAAAGCTGTGGTTTTCTTAGCCTTTAAGGATGAAGCTGGCAACCATAATTAAAAACAAGGATCCATATGTTCCTCTTCTCCAAAGCTTCAGTTACAGTCTTTTAATAAGTAAAATCAAGTTCTACATTGAACTTTTCATGAAAGAAAAGGAAACTGACTTCTTAATACAGGTATGTTAAAGCATTTTCAAAACGTCTCAAAAGAGTTACCTGATAAGATTAAATTGATTTATACTTTCAAGGGAGTTGTTTAGGCAATAGTCAGTTATTGCATTAAATGAAAAGGAAGCTTTGTCTTCATTTAGATTGTCTTATATTCAACCTTTTTGTTTTAATTAAGATATCTTGGAGAAAGTTAGTAGGAATAAGACTCCTCTAAAATATCTTTTATTAATGTTTTTTCCACAACCGTTTTGATCAGAAAAATAGGAAGAAAGCATAATTAAAATAAGATCTGTCAGTACTGTATGTTTAAGAGAAGCAGTTCTGATCTGGGACTGTTTAAAAAATAACGTAGCTATTTGTTTAATGCTTATTTTGTTTAGGTCTGTATGACTTATACGAAAAATAAAAAGTTTAGGAATGTCAGAGAACTTAGGAGGTACAAAACTATTATTGCTGTTTTCCTATAAATAAGAAAGGTCCTTACAAAGAATCTTGCTCAAAACTGATTTAAAATGGACAAGAACAACATTCCTTTTGGAGTTCATCTTCAAGAGGATTGTAAAGAATTTCTCTTATGTTTACTTCCTCTAAAAAAGTATTGAATTATTCAATTACAAAAGCACAGACATCTAAAGGTAATAAGAAGCAAATTTTAAATAAACAATTCTGAACTTCCTCTGTGTTTTCCATTTTCTTGCCCAAGAGACTAGACAACCTATTAAATGCATTCAAAGTATAAGACAAGGAATACCTTTTAATGGTTTCACTTGACTGTCAGTTTTCAAGTTTATTTTTCAAGGCTCTTTCTTTGAGTGTAAGAGGAGATCAAGGTTTGGAGGTATCGGAGAAGGCCCGGAACTGCATACTAGCATAGCTAGACCCTCTGTTGTTGCACCCCCACTGTCCTACTTTCTGCACCAACACTACAAATCTTATTTTGAACAGAGTTATTTTAGGACATGGAGGAGACATCTTTGTGAAGAGTTTCCCCTTCTGTATAGTACGTAATGGTTCTCCAGCAGTGTTCGCTACAGAAGAGCACTCCAGCTTCAATTTTAATATCTCTTCCCTTTCTTCTAGTGCCAGATGTAGAAGTATAATCATAGAATAGTTTGGATTGGAAGAAACCTTTAAAGGTAGTCTAATCCAACTCCCTTGCAATAAACATGGACATCTTCAATTAGATTAGATTGCTCAGAGCGGTGTCCAACCTGGCCTTAAATGTTTTCAGGCACAGAGCATCTACCTCATCTCTGGGCAACCTGTTCCATGTTACACCACTCTCATCATTAAAAAAAAAAAAATCCTTCCTTATATCTAATCTAAATCTTCCCTCTTTTAGTTTAAAGCCATTATCCCTTGTCCCATCACAACAGACCCTGCTAAAAAGTTTGTCCCTGTCTTTCTTTTAAGCCCCCGTTTAGGTACTGGAAGGTGCTATCTATAAGGTCTCCCCAGAGTCTTCTCCAGGCTGAACACCTCCAATTCTCTCAGTCTTTCCTCATAGGAGGAGATGCTCCACCCCTGTGATCAACTTAGTGGACCTCCTCTGGACTTGCTCCAGCAGGTCCAAGTCTTTTGTGTGCTGAGAACCCCAGAGCTGGATGCAGCACTCCAGGTGGAGTCTCAGCAGAGTAGAGGTGCAGAGTCACCTCCCCTGACCTGCTGACCACGCTGCTTAGGATGCATCCCAGGGTATGATTGGCTTTCTGGGCTGCAGGCGAACGTTGCTGAGTCATGTCCAGCTTTTTATCCACTATGAGGTGGTCTACATTGCTAAACTGTTTGAAGACAGCTTATTCTAGGTTAGTGTCAAGCTTGGAATCTACAAGCTTGCAGCTCCTACTGTTGATAAAGCTCTTGCAGTTCAAGAAACTCTTATAGGTTAGCTGCCCTAAGTACAGTCTGCGGATAGCGCATTACGAGGATAAAGGACCTATACCAAGAAAGCATTGATCTGAATTCTTTGTAATTTCTTGTTATAACTTTCATTTTTCTTTCAAAAGAGTTGTTTTTGGGGACAGGTACAATTTGAAAGCTACTGTTAACTTGCAAAGTACAACATAGTTGATTTAAACCTTTTTTTAAACTAAATCCTTTTTACCTGTTTATCTATATGGAAAATGTCCTCACTATCATACAGGTTTTGCTACCATCAGCCACTACCAGTATTTTCATGGATGAATGATTGAAGTAGAGAATGTTTTTATATTATCTCACTCTTGGAAATGTTGAGAGACTCTGCAAGTTACTGTGAAGGGCAGGTTAAGATTTCAAGACTACTGAAAACTGGATGGATGAAGGAAAATTAACAGGAGGAAAAAGAAAGCCTTGAAGAGCAAACTGATGGAAACTGAGAGCAACAAACTAAGCAGAAAGAATTAATACTGAGCCTATAGTGAAGCTCTCAACTTTGAATCATTTTGATATTTCAGTGCTGCAAAGCAAGTCACCTTTTGGGATGTGTAGTGTTGGATGGAAGATAGTTGGCTCTGATTAGTGCACAACTGGCAAGAATGAACTTGTGGACTAAGTTGGACTAAATGATTTCTTTTTTTGAGTGTTTTTATTACCTCAAGTAAGTGGGAGAAATATAGGGAAAAGTACAAATCTTAGGATTGTCTGGACATTCTATAAAGAGTAATGAACTACGACTTCCTTCTCTTGGCAATGGAGGAGAAATAATCTTAGTTTGTGGCTAAAAGTTTGAGCAGGATATTAGAAAAAAATTTTTTCTAGTGCAAGAAAGGTTATATTACAAGCCTAAGGTCTGATTAGACGTGTCTTTTGAAAGTGTTATAGGCATGCTTGATCCTCACGTGTGCTACAGAACTAGATAAACTTGTGAGACCTGTCAGTTTTCCATTTCTAACCTAGTTATAAAAAATGGATTTTGGCATATTTGATACTATTTGCAATCTTAGTTAATCTCCACGATATACTTCACACCTTCATAAATTCACTCATTATGCAAGCATTCATTTTATTTCTTTGTATCCATATAAATATCACTTACAGCTATGACTAAAATTTCTCGGAGTTATTAGTTGATAAAGATCTTTATGGATTTCAATTTAACAAGCTAGAGTTATTTTGAAACTACTTATTTTCATAGTAAAACCTCTGAAGTGTCTGTGAAATAAGCACTGTTAGTCCTTATAGAGAGTACACACATTAATCCCAGTGTGACCTACTATCTAGGTATTGCCTGGCTTTAATTTTAAGGTATCAATTCCATTTCTCACAGGAAGCCACAAAATATGCAGAGTCTAAAGGATTGGAAGTAACAACATTGCAAAACAAATCTATGAATGTCAGTGAAAATGACGAAAGTAATTTGGTCACAAAACAAAGGTATGTATTAAGGATTATATTACTGAGGGATGTACTTGGACAGTAACTTGAAACTTGTAGAATTAAGAGTAGGTAGAAGGAAGGACATTACATTCCAAACTGCTGTCCAATAGAAAATTAGTTACAAGCGTATTCCCTATTTTTTTAAAATTTGGGCTCTTCTATGGTTGTTACTTTTGGCATTTACATCAAGTAGCTTTGGTTAAGTTTAATTATTTGTAAATGTGCAGAATTTTCAGTTTAAACAGCTGTCAATGTTGTATAACAACAAAAACATGAAAAGACTTTGCTTTTTTTAATGCTTGATTGAGCACTTTTTAGTCCTACCCTCCTAATTTCAGACTATAAGTCATCTCAAGCAAGAGAATAAGAAAATGGAATCAGGCTGTTATATTTTCTTTACAACTGAACACAAGATTCTGTTGTTGATACTAATGTGAAGGGAAATAGTAATGTTGTTTCATGTTTCTGGCAGTGTGAACCCTCAAAACGATTATTTGGAATATACTGATATTCTAGGTTTATTGCCTTGTTTTTCATGGAGAATGTAACTGTAGTCTTTAGTTGGGATAGAGCTTTATTTCTGCATTGTTATACTGGGAATATTTGGCATAATTTAGTTAAGGAAATCGACTCATGCAGACAGTATAGAGGAAGACATTTCACAAGTTTTGTTTGGGTTTTTTTGTTTGTTTTTGTGTTGGGTTTTTTTTTTTTTTAGAAGGATAGCTCATGACACAATTACATCTGAGAGATATGATGAAAGACTTGTTAAAAAACCCCTATGGAAGTAATTCCTAATGAAAAACTAGATGTGCAAAATGCCATCAATTTAAATGTGTGAGGCAAGATTAAAAGGGTTAATGGATTGATGCAGTTAGTGTTTGCATGCCACTGTTTCTGTAGAGAGATCTCAATATTTTTTTAATTTAAATATTGTTGAATCATGTAAATGGCAAGTTGCTGCTTAGGAAATTATTTTTTTGTCTTTTTTTTCAAGATTGGTGAAAGAGCAACAGTATATCACAAATCAGTCACCTGGAGACATAAAAAAATCCACAGAAAGGTAAAATTTTTTGTTGCTTTTGGTCATAGACTTTTCGTGAAGTTCTGTGTATTTTTACTCCATTCTATGTTGCTTGCAGGCCTTATTCAGGGCAGAAACACACAGGGAGCAGAGTTCTTCAGAGTGAGTATTAGTTTACTTTTACACTTTCGAAACAGTCATGTCAAACACTTATTTCTAAGTGTGATTGGATTAATAAAAAAATGGCTGTGGGGGAAAAAACATTGCTAGTTTTTGTGTGTATTTTCTGTACAAGTGCAGGTTTGGTGGTTGCCGTATTTAGGAAGCTGTGAAGTGGCTTCTCTGGCAACTCATTTTGTGAAATCATTCACTATTTTCTGGTTTGCTCGGGGTTTTGTTTGCTTTGTTGTGATTTACAGTATTCTATGCAAAAGAAAGCTGCCAGAAGAGTACTGAAATTTGTCTCTTTCTCAATTTGGTGCTAGATAACTTTGGTGGGAAGAACTAAAGAGATTGGCTGATTGGAAAAACAAGTTGTAGTGTAAAATGCACAAAGTTAGGATGTTTGTGCATTTTCCTGGTAACCCTAACTTAACAACATGGATAATGTAATATTTATAAGTAGGTTCTGAAGACCATTAGCAACCTCTTACCACAGAGAGATGATGTTATAGTTTCTGTGTGTGGCCATGTTGTACATGGAAGGACAAACTCTTAAGATGCCTTGAATGCTTGCCACAGTTAAAACCTGATACATGTACTTGGAAATAATGCAATCTGTATACAAAGACTCATAGCTCTGATTGTTTGTTACTTCCCATTCTCTCTATGTAAAATGAGAGCAGTATGTATAGTAAAAATGCTTTTACCAAAATGAAATGTTTCATTATTATGCACCAATTTTTACTTAATTAATTAACTAATTAATTTACCTAATTAAAATATAATTCTTCTGTGAACTCTATTGTGTAGAAAATGTGGTGATTTTTTTGAACAGACTATTTTTTGAATCTTTGGACAATGGTGAACTATCATGTGTATTCATATAAAAAAGTATATTTATATGTAATCAGACACTGAAATTTTCCCAATCTGTCATAACATATCAAAACAGGGTACATTCTTGTCTCATGTAAATGGTAGAATGCAAAACTGCTGCCTTAATGGTGACTCCTGACTGTACTGGATGTATATTAACTGTCTCCTAGGTCTCAACAACTTACAGAATGTGGAAAACCATGGAGTTTCAGCTTGTGGCCGAAGAAGACAGGTTTGTACCATTCTCTGTTCTAAATTGACATAAAATTAATCTACACTGCACCGAATTTTTTTCCCAGCTTTATTTGACCTTCTCCAAAATGCCTAGACTTGAGATTCTGTAGATTACTCAAACTGTGCTACAGGTCCTGAAACTGTTAAAAGTAATCTTTTTTAAAGAGAGGAAATAAAACTTATTCTGTGCACTCTCAAATATTATTGTTGCTAATGCTTCTGAGCCTTTAATTTGTTGAAATACGCTGCTTCTAAAGCTTAGTTTGATTCTTTTTTTTAAAATGTGAAAAAAAAAAAAATTCTTTCCACTGTTGGGGTTACAGAATTCAGGATATCATTTGCCCATGAGAATTTTAGGCAAACATCAAAGACTACTTGTTTTCCAATTTAGAAGGTTAAATATTTAGCAATTTCATAATTCAGTAATTTGCTCATGTTAGGTGAAAACATCTATTTACTTGGGAAAATATTTTAGTTTTTATAAACCAAATGATAGGGTCTTCTTATAATGCTACATTTCAAATCATCCTTTGCATTCTCTTCATGGGTGAGCCTACTTCATTTAATTACTTAAAATAATGCTGCTATGTTCACTAATGCTAGAATTCCCTGTTGGTGGGAAGTACAGAAGTCTATACCTTAATAGAAGGCAATTTGGTATGATGTTGGGGTAAACTGTTTCAAGCTAATTTTTGCACATAGCCAATTTTCATTCATAATTGTTCAGCTTCTTACCATGATAACTAAGGAAATTAATATTAAACAAATGCATTGCCTTTGAATTCATTTTCATAATATCTCTTAGGAAGCAATTTGGAGTCTTTCTGTTTAGATAACAGTACAAGTTACCGTCGTACATCCATTGTGGTGTGAGCTGTTTCATTTATCTGGTGTTCATTTTGACATTTCATGTTTTGTATAACAGGGAGGGCCAAACCTGCTCATGTTTTTTTCCAGATTGTCACTGAGGAAAGTTGTACTTCTAGTTCTTTAACCATTTTTACTGCAGTTGAAGTACGGGTTAAATCTTCAGTTACATGGTGTCCTCAAATTGGTTGAGGTCCTAATGAGAGCTCATCTATCCTTGCAGGTTAAGCCCCTATAAAGTTTTTCACTTTCTCACAAATCTCAGGAATAGTTAAATCACTGAGAGCCTCTTTAAAAGCTACAGATAAAACCAGTGCCCTAAAAGGAAAAAAATAGCAGCACTTACTGGATTTGTTTGTTGCCTTTAAAAATATAATTAGTTTACTCCAAAGTATACTTGGATAGGTACTTTGTTAGCCAGTGTCTGGTAAGCATGAACACTTCCATCAAGCTTGTTTTCAACATCAAGATTTAAACTATTTGGATCACAATTGACAGAGAGCTAATGAGAACTTTGTGTTCACATATTTTCATGCTGAGGTAGTCTGCTATGGGGTCACCTACAGGCAGTGTATCTAAGTCTAGGGCTTATGCACACATCTTGTTAGAAAAAAATAGATGTTGTTTGCTTAGTTACATTGTTGTATTTCAACCTTAATTGAAATGTAAAGGCAAAATTTTTACAAAAATGCATCTGATAGTAGCAAAGAACTCTGAAAATTTTATAAAAACTTGTATGAATTTTATGATTAAGAACTGTTTCTTTAAACACTTAGAAAAGTTGTAGGCATTTGCTGCCTCTGTGATATTTATGCCATACTCCCTGCCACTGAGACTGCTCGGAAATATTGTATAGAAAGCAATGATAATTGGCCTTTTACACGATAAATCTACTCCTCTGCTTAATCATCTGGGTTATAAAATTGTCTACATGCATGAAAGAATGCAATGAATGTCAGAGCTGTTGACTTCTAGAACTTCCTTTTCCATGTAGTCCCTCTTTCAATGTTGGCATTGTTTGCTCTTGTTTTGTAAATGGCATTTCATTGCAATGGTTCAGTGCCCATTTTCAGCCTTTCATTGCTGTGTTTTCAGTTAGCTACAAATAACACTCTGCAGTGCTATTGAAAGCAAGCATACTTTATTTTCTCCTCCCTAAATTAGGGGATGCAAGTGTCACGAAATTTAGGGAACTGTTTGTACTCAGTTTTATATCCTGTCCTTTGAGTTGTTTAAAATCTGACTGACAGTTTCTTTAAATTAAAGAATGTGTCTGAAAATCTGGATGTTCAGAATTTAGTCAGACTTGTATGGGAAAAAAAATCCATATATTTAAACCAGAAGGAAGAAAATCAGATCGGAGTCCCATAATGCATAAAGGAAGACAGGTTACTAGAGGAGGACTGACTAAGGAATAACAAGATCTTTAGATATGACAGGGTATGCCTCTGCATTCTGCCTGGCAAACTCAAGCTTGCTCTGCCTGCATTCTAAGCTGGCCAGATGTCACGTTGCTCTGGACTAGGTGCCATGATGATGTGAGCTCAAATGTAATGCTGCATTATGTCCAGGCTTTCAACCAGCCTTGGTAGCTTGTAACAGTGCAAAGCTGGAATCTCCAAAAGTGCTGTCCCAGAGGGGACAGACAGTTCATCAGTCAGTGAGGTGGGAGGCAAGTTACTGCTCTGTACAGTTCCTCGGTGAAAAGATGACAGTCCCTGATTTACCTGTAAGGCAGGCTCCTCATTTATATGTTAAACTGAAGAATTTTTTTTTAAAAAACAAAAGCTCAATATAAGCAATTTAAAATCAAAACAAGCTAAACCAACCCCTTTAAGAGCAAATGTAACTAATCATTACAAGTAACAATAGTTGTAATTGTCTCTGATTGAAGTATTTGAATTATCTGGTGTTCTAGGTCAAGAATAACTCTGTTACTTGAATAAAGATTTTATTTAGGAAAGTTTTCTGGCATGCTCTGAAATGAACTACGTGATTCCAATGGAATCTCTGGCCTTTTAATAAAGTTAAAAAAAAAAAACAAACCAAGAGCCATTCACTGCTGATGTTGCAAAATATCTGTGGAACAGGAAGTATTGGAAAAAGGAAGTATTTTTGATAAAGGTTAGACTACTTTAGAGAAGTTTTAGGTTCCAAACCTTTTAGAAATACAACTGAACTGCTATCACTTGTATTTCTTTCACTGCTTAGTGAGGTTTGTTAGTGATCATAGTTTACTGAAGAGGCACTGAAAATTGCATTAAGCTGGAGTAGGTCCAACTTTGAGATGTGAAGTTTAGTCTTCACGTACTTCAGTTTACACTTTGCATAGGTGTCACATTTTCCCTCGTTGTAGAAAAACCAGGATACAGTTCTGATCAAGTTGAATGTTATCGAAGCTTATTCTCCCTCATACTGATGCCCCTGCCTTTCATGTTTGGGTGCTGCTGACACTTCTAGCAACTTAAATTCAAGGGAAGTGGAGAACTATGCAGAATGGCACTCAGTTGTCACCCGGCCTATTCCCAATGTCTGAATTGATTTTGCTTTTAAGAGCAGAATCTTTTAAGGATCCCAGAAGGGTTTCAGGTCATTCGGAGAGGAGATAAATTTTTTTATTTTTTTTTTTGCTATCTCCATGGATGTGGGATTTAGCACAAGGACCTCTTGTGCCATTGACAGTCATACCAGCTGAGCCTGGGTTTTCCTGTCCACCTCTCCCTTCTGCACGAGCAGCATGGTATGTATTTGTCTAATGACAGCAGCCATGAGATTTACATTTCCACTGGGTACGTTATTTGCAGAATTAAGTGATGTTCATTCCCCTGTAATTCATATATTTCCTCGCACTTATCAGATCTACTAGTTGGCTTTATCAAGTTTAAATTTCTGTAAGTTGAGGCTATTCCTTTGCACCTGCATTTCTCTTTCTGCCCAGTTCTTTACAACTTTGAAAGTTTCAGTTGTAGAGGTGAGCCATAACATGATTTTCTAGTCTTCCCTTTTGCTTTATAGCCAACAGCATTTATCCATTTGATAATTGGAAGTGCTCTGTTACTTATAGGAGAAGGTTTTATACATACTCTGGTAAACCAACCTTTCTTTTAATCCACAAAGTTACAAATTTTAGGCCTTCAGATTCAACCGTTTACAATTCTTATGGCTCTTGTAATGTTCTATAAACATTTTTTATTCCAATTGTGTTATTCCAATTAACCCAAGGCTTTATTAGCAAAGGATTAGTCAATCAGTCCCCTGTCACATAAGGATTATATACATTTAATCTCAGGAATGCTCACAACTCAGCCAGGTTCTGCTGGCTACGGAATTGTTAAGGCATGTTAGAAGTGGCCACCTCCTTTAGCAGCCTCAGCCCAGGACTCTCCTGTCTGGCTGCTGGAGCCCAGTGTGGAGTCCAGGGACCTGGGGTCACTACTCAGGCAGTGGCTTCTACTTTCCCATATGCAGGTTTGCCTAGTAACAAAGCTGAACACAAATCCAAGAGACACACACAGAGAGGACACTGCCACAGAAAAGGTGCTGTCCTCAACACCACCCATGTGTGGTACCCGTGTAAGACATAAACACAGCTGAGTCCTCTTCCGTTGTCTGTCTGGTAGAGGTGTAAGTTCACTGGTGAAGGCACACACCCCCTTCTCTAGGTTCACAGGCACATGCCCAAGTATGGGAACAACCCTTCTGCCTGCCTGGTACCCCTGCCCACATCACAGCCCTCCCATTCCTTTCATAGGGCCGTAACTTCCTGGCTGGTGCAGATGGATGCACCAAATATGAGCACTCTTCTGGCTGTATTGCATTGTACTCTTGCAAGATGTCTCCCTTTCAGGTAAAGGGTGAAATTTTCACTCATTCAAGGAGACAAAGAAAAGGCAGAGGGAGCCTGTGCCTCCTGGGTGGCAGCTCACAGTCACTGCTTCTGGGATGACCCTCCAGCCTGACAATAACCAGTAACTCAAAGGAAAACTACAAGACACACAAGGGCTCCTCTTGGTCATAACATCTGTCCAGCAGACCAGACCAGCATTACAATTACCTTTCCCTCTTTTAGCTGGCAGAGGGGTGCCTGACTGACCTATATTAAAGCTGGGATTCAGCAGCCCCCACACATTGCAGGAGCCTACAGATGACCCTTGGCTAAAGCCCCAACAGGGATTTCAAAAGATTCTGTACCTTCCAAGCAGTGGCAGGGATCAGCCCATGGTCTGCCTAAGCAAAGCAGGATGTGTGAATCCCATTCACAGCACCAGGTGCTGTTGTGGAAATAACCTGAACTGCAGTTGAGGTCAGTTGGTGGCTGTGATGATAGGAGAGGACAGGGAGCAGCAGTGATGGCCTTTACCGATGTGAATTCTGCCCAGCTGGGACAGCTATGGAGTTCTATAACTTTTACAAACAGCTTTTTCACAAAAATTGTATCAGATAAGCAGCTTATGGTACATAACAGCAAATTCAGTTCCTCAGATGAAGAGGCTCGAGTCAGTACATTCTTTTACAAATAGTTCACTCTTTTGGCAATTTAAATTGTTCTGACTGGCAAGACCATTAGCTGCAAATGCTTCTTAACTCCTGAGGCCCACAAAGGCCTATTCAACATTACCAATTTTAATTTTACACACTCACCGTAATTGCAGTGCTTTTGATCACTTGCCTTTATAAATTTTGTAGTACTTTTATGAGCAAAAACTCTGACATTTTTGCTATTTCAGAGCAACTCCAAAATCAGTAAAACACAGGTGATGGTTAAATGCAGAAATAAGGGAGTCTTTTGGTTGGATTTTCAGCAGTCATTTGCTCATGACATGCACATAAACACATGCAGATTTTGTAACACTCTGGTAACTAATGATTTTTAATATGGAATCTGTTGGTGATTACAGAAATGCCAGCATGAGACCAGTGAAAATTGACCATTTGTCTCCTTTCATAACTTATTGCGGTCCATGAGACTGTCAGAAGAAGCGGGCCCCCTCCTGTGCAAGAAGCAGAACTAAACATAAATAAATTAAATGGAACAGCTGCACAATACAATTCTCTGTGCATCTCAATCTCATTAATGTTTTTAAGTTTTTATTTTTTCTGTAAGTTAGGCCTTTGCATTTCAGGTTTGGGGAATAAATTTAGAAAGAACATGCTATCAAACTACAGTTTCAAGTAGAAATCGATACTTACTTTTTAGAAACAGTTTTTCTACACAGTTATTTCACCTGAGGATTCTGTCCTATGCTTGCACAGATAATACGCAATTCAGTTTGCCTGAGGAGGTGTGCTGATCATACATCAGTGTGATTAGTTGTGTATTAAGCAAGCAAGGATTTGAAGACATTTGTGGAGAGTCAGATTCTAGCCAAATCACTTGTTTTAAAATAATTTCATAATAAAGTTACTAATGCTATTTCAGAGTGAAAAAATTGACTGCATCTAATACCCCTTATACATGCACATATCAAAAAATGTAGTAGTTAAAAAAATACATCAGAGGATATATAGAATTTGTAAAGTTTTGTTATATAGATGTCTATTTTTATGAAGTTATGCTAAAGGAAAATTGACAATTGGTTCTCCCTTGCACTTTTCTGTAAAGGTAAGATTTTTAAAATCAAGAATTTCATTTTTAAAAATTCAGTTTTCTTTTACCCTGTGTGCAGTCTTAAAACTCTTTGTATTGAGGTGTTTGTACCAAGAAGCAACTAAGAAAGAACTGGAAGGGATTGCTTACAGATGTATAACTGCAAGTAATTTTCTCTTACTTTTATGAGAGAAAAGTCATGCCCTGAAGATTAAAAAGCTTGTAACTCATGGCAGTCAGACTTAAGTAGTAGGCTCAACAAATGGCCAAAAGCAAATGCATAGCTGTTAGCTGAGAATATGACTGATGTCACTTTCAAATGCAATATGTATAATTTTGCTTCTATAAGCATTTTAAATACTGGGATTTGTTCCTGAGCACACTGAAATTCTTTTGTTGTTGGTAAAAGGTGTCTTGATTCTCAGTCCTTGGCCTAATGTGTCACAGAATGCTTTCTCTTTTGCGGTGCATACTAGGATCGATCAAGATTTGTCTTGGCTCAGTTAGCTTATAAAGTACAATTTTGGAAAGCATGTTTTGAAGAAAGCAAACCTTGGCCCAATATCTTTTTTCTTTTCCTCCTGCGACTTGTGAACGTTGAAACATGCTGTTCTCTTTCCAGGTGATATCTAATGTGTTGTAAAACTTGACTTGATAACCTTTGTTGTTGTATTTAGTTTCAAGATTTAGATTCAAGTTTGAAAACAGAACCCCTCTGACACCTCTACTCTGTAATAACTAGAGAACAGTATGAAAACTTGCTTTTATATTTGCTGTAAGGTTAGCTTTTACATTAATACCTTTCTCTGTTCACATATCCAGTATTTTTCTCTGTTCTTCCCCTAGCGATGGACTTACAAAGAAGACTTGGAACTGAAATCAGGAGTAAAGATGTTCGGAGTGGGTAACTGGGCTAAAATTTTGGCCCATGGTAACTTCAACAACCGAACAAGTGTCATGTTAAAAGACCGGTGGAGAACATTGTGCAGGATTGACCTAGCCTAGCTTTCCAGAATAACAACTTATTTTAGTCTCAAAGTGTCCAGCAGTGTTGCTGTCCTAAAATGTGAAACAGAATAGTAATAGGTATAAAACATTTATGTAAGCAAAGTTGTTCAGGTGATGACTTTAATGTGAAACCTAATACACAGTGTGAACTTTATGGCAGATGAACCTTGGCTAACATTAAAAAAGTTCCTTATTACTAGTTAAAAATGCTCATATGTAACAGTGACATGAAGTTCTGAGAAGTCTACTTCCTTAACACTGACTGTGGAGTCACCTATGAAGGTGGGTGAACATGTGAACTGCAATGTAGAGGAAGAATACTTACGCACTTGTAGTGTAAACAGTTGTCTAGATGATGCTGGGAAGGAATCAAGGATCTAAACTGAAATCTGGTTTTAACACTCAAACTTTCATTTTTATTTACTCTTGCTATTCAGTGATGACAGTAACTATCGTCAGACTTGAGAATGTTTGGCTGGCTCGCTACTGAGTAGGAGCAGTGCCTGTAGACAGGGCTGTGGCCAGCAGAGAATGTAAACTTCAGGAAAAGCAACTACTATGATTAGAAATATTAGCTCTTAATTACCAAAGAGAAACATGGAAACATGCTTCTAGTGTTCTAATAGAAAATCAGTCTTAGCATTTTGTATTAAGGCAGAGAAAGTTTCCCGAAATGCTTCTTCTAAAGTTCTGACTCCTTTAAAATTTGTTTAGGCTCCAGAAAATGCAGCATAAAGATGTAGATTTCTTGGCATTGATGTTAATATTCTCAGTCTTTTTGTTGTTGCTGTTTTAAAGGTCTTTTAAACTTTTATGTAAAAATAAAGCTATGCACCAGGGGACATGAACAGTGTTCCAGTTGCCGAATCTTCTTCCAGGTTCCTTGGCACTGAGAGTTGCCAATTGCTTCCCAGTGTAAGATTTTATCTCTGAAATGTGACAATAAATGAGGAATTAGAAGACTGAAAATTGTGTATTTCATGTTAATGGGTTATGTAGTATAACGTGTCAGAAGATTTGATTTGCTTCATCATGTAGGACTCATCTAGCTCTTGAAATGGTTTATGGAGCAGGCACTATATTCTAAAGTATATATATACAGGATGGTGGATTGAGTATCTGGTTGTACAGGTATCAAGTTGTATGCATATTAATGAAAGTATGGATCAAGTAAAAATCTGTTATGAATAATAAATATCTACTTTCACATTTAGTTTTCTATAAACTAGGTATACAGGTTTGAGGGGCGTACTGATGCACCACTATTATACCTGCAATCAGATTTAGATTATGGCAGGAAATACCATTTTTATGTAAAAGTGCCTGTAACTGTAAAAAGTCCTCTTGCACTACAGAAGTTGCATTATTCTTTCACAATTGTAAATAAAGCTTGCAAAGCATTGAACTCTTATATTGAAATTACTTCCCAATTCTGTGAGAACTGAAAGGGTAAACCTTCTGAGCTCTACAAGTGGTATGAGCTGTTTCATTTTTTAAGTGTAATAAATGCAACTTTTAATGAGACCTTGAGAAGGTTTAACTTCTGTACTGGGTTTTGCTCCAGAAGAGAGAGCAGAAAAAAAGGCTTTCTTTACCCATCTGCGTTATGGCCATCCCCAGCACAGCGATGCGTGTCGGTGTTCATAGCTGGAGGCTGGCAGGCGACGCACACAGTGTGTCCTTCACGTAGGTACTGCATCCAGCGAGCATATGGCCGATACTCCAAGGCACAGTGGTCTGAAAGTGACTCTGTTCTAAACTCCACACAGTATCTGCTCAGCAGAAAAAGCACTAAATTAGTTATGATAAATAAAGCACAAGCTTTATCTTTACTTTGAATGTACTTACCAAACAGATGGTATTTGTGAAGTGCAAGTTAGACATCATCATTGCTAACAAGTCTCTTTCTGACCTAATCTAATCAATGGATTCTTAAAAACTTTCTGCGAACTATTTCTCATTCTGTGCTCCAGTCCAGTGCTTTATGTTGTGTTCTGTATTCTTAAATTATGTTGAAAAGCAGAACTTGGTAACCCATATTTTTGCTTCTATTCTGCTGAAGGAGAAAATGGAAAAGAGACTAAGAATACCAATGGGATTTATTTTTCTGGGGAAAATAGCACAGGACAAAGCATTATGAGCTTACAGACCCAGTAATAGCCTAATTTAAACTTTGTAGCTATCTCTACTGGTAACCAAACAAAATTTTTTATCTATTGTGTCAATTAGTTTAAAAAAAAAGGTCTCTTGAGACCAATCACATTCAACCCACTCTACGAGTTCAGAGGCCTAAGTCTAATTTCTTAGACTTATGCTTAGGACACATTCAGCTTTGGTTTAGCATTATGTACTGTTGGCTTTCAAACGCAGCTGTCATCACATTTGCCACGATCCCAATGTCTAATTCAGGACAATTAGCAAGTAATAAAAAACAACGTCTAGAACATGCAAATAAACTGCATGAAAGAAAACCCGTACAAGCTATAGCTTATTGTTTAATTGTTGCAAATTTCATTACATTTTTCTCTATAGCCAGCTACTTTGTACTGAGCAAGATGACCCACATGCATATGATAAACAGATTACCCAGCTGCTTCTTTGTCTGAGGGCCAGAGCGAAGATACTGCTCGTCGTTTTCTTTCTTTACCGTATTCAGAGGTTGTTATGAAAGCAGGGACTGAGGAAGAAAACAGTTACGGTAAGGCAGCAAGACAATAGCTGAGCCATATTTCAATTACTGTAACGGCGGATGAATGAAGCAGGAGCTTGTGGATGGTTATGTGATGTTGGCTGACTTCACTGAAAAAATGGTAAAATGTTGGCAACATCAGATGTCAACCCCATTCCCTGCAGCTAAGCTCTCCTTATTCAGAAGAAAAATATCTAGAAATGGATGCCGTCTAATCTGAGGAAGTAAGATGTGCTGGAATCCTACAAAGAGTACTCTTTCCTGTTTCATGCTGAATTTGTGTTCTAACTTTGCACAGATATAATTTGATACTTTCTGAGGGGCTTATGTCCAGAAACTGAAGGGAGTGCATGCAGCTTAGTTTACTTAATAGAAATTAAGAAATGCCAGAGTGGGGAAAAAATAATAAAATAAAGAGCAATATGACAGTAGAAAGCAACATTTTCAATTGTATTTTTAACCACCTATCTATGGATAGATGCTTTTTTTTTTTCCTTTTCATTGACATCAGTAAAATTTATGGCAACCTGGATGGACACAATGTACAGATAAAGACAGAATACCATGTTCATGGCCGCAGTCCTCCCCCTGGTAAGTCAGGTATTCCAGGCAGCCAGCCTTCTCCTCCAGAGCCGGACAAGGTTCCCCACCATTTTTAGGTTCCTGTTGTACGTAGCGCCTGCGTATTCGCAGACCAGGATGACACTGTTCTGCACAGCCACTCCAATGACTCCACTCCCCCACAACACACGGAAGAGCTGCAAAGGAGTATTGAAACATTACTAGTAGTCAAGGTTTCTGTTTTATCCTAATTGCTCTCAAAAGCTTGAAGTATTAAGACTATGTTGGGGGGTTTTGTTCTGTTTGGAGGTTTGGGGTTTTTTTCCTTTTTTACTTTTATTTTAAAAGTTTTAAATGCTCTTCCAGGAGTTTTGCATCCTCAGATTTAACATTCAAACTTGCCTGCAGTGCTTGGCTCCATATTTGATCCCTTGTGTATAAACAAACAGCCCCTCATCAAAACCTTTCACTACAGCTCTGAGGTTCTTCTGTACCCTCTTCTGAAGCATACAGCATTAGCCCCAAAGGAGACTAGTTTAGGGATTATCTAGACCAGAGTGGTCTGACCTATGCTGGCGGTTCCTACACCACCAGATTTTGTTAAAAGGCTGGAACATAAAGTAGCAGAACTCAGGAAGTGTTTCAGCACTCTTGATTCCCCTCAGATTGATTTCTAACCCCTTTTTCCTCAACATTTAAGAACCAGTGCCACAGCTTTGTTGCCCTGTTATACGCAGAGTGTTGTACTCCATGGTTCTTGCTGCAAAGACAATTGTTGGCGAATATTTTGGGGCCCTGCTTATTCCCAACTATAGAACAGTCCACTGAACATTTGAATTTTAGTTCTCATGGGCAACAAACTTTCTCTGAACTTAACCAAAACATTGTGGAAAAAGTGCCATTATTTTGAAAGTAAACTGAATTGTAAGAAAATGCATTTCCCTCTAGCAGAGCATCAATAGCACAGGTACCATATACTCACACCTTTGATCTCTCCTAACCCAGCCTAATAGAGATTCAAAGAACTTCTCTCTTTGCACATATTAAGTGTGCTCACTGAAGATCTCAGATGAAGAAAGAATGAAAACTGCTTTGGTTTGTATTTTGTGGCATTTTTCTGGCAACTATTGAAACCTTTAGCCCAGTTGATGGCCTTTGATATGTTTTTGATTAAATAACATCCAGGTTCTTTAGAAACAGACTAAATCATCATATTATGTAGAGAATGAACCCTTATTTCATGTTTGACACTTCTAACCTTTCTGTGAGAGCTGTACATGGTAGACTTAGCATCTCTCATTTTCAGCATTGTCTTTAAACTCAAAAATCAGATCTGTTATCCAGTAGCCATTTCCTTCCTTTAATCCCATATTAGCACCTTGATATGCAGATAGCATCAGGACTAACATCACATTTTCCATGCAGGAAACTCCCAAAGAGACTAGTAACTGCATAACAAATAAAGCAATGACTTCATGTCTTACTGGAATTAAACCAAGCTGACAGTTAAATACTGATCATCTGTGGCAATACATGGCAATTTTATGGTCATCAAGATTTAGAACAAGAAGGATGAATTGCCTCAGTCATGTGGAAAAATATGAATATTGGGTTGCTAGAATGGAATTTAGTCAGCGGGATAATAATGTCGTTCTTGCAGTCAGTACCCAGCAACTATTAAGGGACAGTACGTCAATTTTGTGTCTCATTGGAAAGATGTCAAATTCCTCAGCATGACAGAGAATGGGTCCCAGAGATGATATACAAGGAACAGTGTCACCTTTTGAAATATAAAAAGAAGTATCAGGGACCCATAGCTACATCTTTATGGTCTCTATGTTGCTATTGTTTCAGCTTAGTTAATATGACAATGGTAGATGATGATTTGTTGAAAAATGAGGGAGATGCAAGTCAAAGGAACCTGAATTATAGGACTTGTGCTCAGATACCTACTAAAATGTGGAAGCTAGTGGAATTTCAAAAATACACAAAAAAATTACATTACTATCTTATGAATCACAGATTGAGTGGTCAGAACTTTTTTCTTGTCTTCCATTTACAGCACTGTGAGTCATAGATCTTTTTTTCTGAGTCAAATTCCATTTAATTTTTTCCCATGTCTGGAAAAAAAGGAGGATTACTATATGTTAATTGCACAACATACGTTGCAATGTATAAGGATCTGTGGATTTTTCTCAGAGTAACCACTTCACTTCAAGTGACAAGCTCATTCATTTCTCAGCTTTCTTCTTGTACAGTAGTTCCTATTTAAAATGCTCTCTGTGTACAAAAACATTCTTTCATCATTTTTAGAACTATAAAGAAATTTATTTTAAACTCTTGGACTTAGGTTCAGAAGTCCCTGGGCTTCTGCTGAGCTATCTACTTATAAAGTACTAGATCTACTGCAATTTTTAGGCATAACAGAATTTAAGTGTGCCATTGGCAGCTTTAGGACGCCCCTCCCTTCAGTGTTTTCTATTATTTTGGAGCATTAGTTTTTTATTATTCTTAACACATTTCTTGATTACCTATCCTTGAGGCACTTTACACTTTCCCTAAACACTTCATCCTGTTAAATATTTGCGAAAGGATGAAATGTCATTTCAGCAGGTGCTGAAATCAAGAGTGGTGAACAGGTTGACAAACAAGCTGTAGTACAAGAACCATTGATCACCTTTCTTCACATTTATGTTTTCAAGTTTTGAACTTTACATTCAAAACAGTGAACTATGCCAATAAACACTCTTGATGTCATTAAACACATAGACAGAATTTACAAAGACTCAATAGGGAGACCTTGATATCCAACAGGAACAAAAACAACTTTAAAATTTCCAGCCATACTTGTGTAAGTTGATACCAACTCCCACTGGAACTATTTGGAATTTCTGTTTATACAAAATACAACTTAATGACTTGCCATGGAAATTATATATGATCATTTGCCTTTAAAAGAATGACTTGTGAATTTTGTGAAACTTGGAAGATTTGTAGTTTTTGAATGTATGAGTTCGAGGATCACTTTCCCAGGCTACTAAAATCCTGCCCTCCCATGCTACACCCACCCATGCCAAATGTGCTGTTAACTCTGCTTGTGTTAGCATTGGAGCTCACACAACTGGGCAGCGAGGCAGTGCAGGGAGTTGAACCAGTCAGAAATGGGTAATAGAGAAAACAGAAATAATTCCCTGTGGGTTTACCTCCCTGAAGTGGGCCGCCTGGCTCTGGTGCAGGAGAGGTAGAGAGAGAGACTTCACGGAGACTCCATCTTCCTGCCTGGATCTAGGGCACCCACTGCCCACACAGGGTACAAGAGAGAGGCGGCACAAACACATAATGCCTTTTGAGGAAACCACCGCTGAACATGAGACAAAAAATACCATCTCGATAACAGTGGGGCATCATCAGATGCCAGAAGTCATGGTAAGGAAAGTGTTTAAACTAGAACTTTACAAGCACAAGTTTGAGCTTCTTTTTGAAGAGCACAGAAATTTTTATTGGATTAGAGCTTCATTTTAATGCTAATACTGGGCATGTTTATCTGCTCTCTCCTTTTATACTTGAATATTAAAAATCATATTATTTACCGAAAATATGTGATATGCTCTGACTGTATGACAAGCAAGCATTTTGTCAGTAGTCCCCCTATTGATTTTCCTGAATGATAGAACATTGTATTTTAAAAATGCTAATTTTAAAAATGCTACCTTCTGTTATACCCTGTGGTGCATTTTTTTCCCCATGTTATTCTGGTGAGATTATTTAGTGGTGAGAGAACTGACTGTATTTCTTCCGGAGACCTGAGGTCAGAGTTCTGCTCTGCTGAGTTCTTCTGTGAAGCTTTATATCCCTTAGGACGTGTCTACAGCATCTGACAGTTGTACTCCCCCTTCCCAGTACAGGCAGACATAAGCCAACTTGGGTCCCAGAGATATGTGGCTGTGTCAGCATGGCACTGAGCCTGCTAAATACACCCTAATTAGCAGAACTGTGCAGCAAAGGCTCATGACTTTTTGGCTGTAGGCTGGCATATGTCCAGCCAGCTGGGAGGAGACATTAGTCTGAGTACTAGTGCTGCACCTGCAAAGCAAGGGCTGTGTCCAACATCAAAGACAGAGGGAGGGAGGACAAATTGTGAAGACCCCAAAGAGTAGAAATACCACAGAAAGAGGCAGTGTGAGTATCTACAAGGTTGCTACTCAGTTTGGTAGAACTGGACCACTTTTCCTGCTTGCCACTGCTGCCTTGGGGGCCAGGCCTTCCCCCAAAGGCTGGCAGAGGACTCTTTTACAGAATGACAGAATATTCTGATTTGGAAGGGACCCACGAGGATCATCGAGTCCAACTCTTAAGTGAATGGCCCTTATGGAAATCAAATCCATGACCCTGCCATTATTAGTGCCACATTCTAAACAAATGAGCTTGCACTCATTCTCCTATGCTTATTTTAAAGCCCTTGCCTTCACAGTAAATCCTTGTTGATTCATACCCCTAGAAATGGGGCCAAAACCTCACAGTGGGGATTTCCCCAATCATTTCATTGCCATTTGTTTGGCAGGATGTGAGGAATCAGCTGAAAGGTACAGACCGGTGCTAAATGAATCTCCCTGCTGTCTCTGTAATTGGACACACCTCCTGCAATCAATGTGTGTTTGGGACTAGCACGAGGATAAAGTAACAAAAAATTGTAGAGGTAAAATAACTTCAGACCATCACTGTACTACAGCCGATCTGGAAACCTTGCAGATGACTAGTGAGAGAAAATTCTCTGCCCCCCTTCCTGCGCCTGCCGCTGTTCTGGCACTGCCCCAGTCTGGTCCCTCTTCATGCCCTGGCCCCGGGGCTGGGGACGCCGGGGAGGGAGGAATCTGGCCCCCCCGCAGCCCTCAAGCCCATGACCGCACGCCCCAGCTCCCAACCCCAGCGACACCTCCATCCCGCGAAGCCTCGGCAGGTAGAGAGATCCCTGTACCTGGAGAAAGGGCTGAGGGTGCGGGGTCCCACCCGGGCCGCGTCCGACCCGCGCCCCTCTCGCCGGGGCCGCGGCCCTGCCGGACCCCCCAGGGCCGGGGGCGGACGCACCTACCTGGACACGCCTGGCTGTGGTCGTGGCAGCAGTCCCCGGCTCGCCGGCAGCCTCCGTCGCAGTAGCAGGTCCCGTATCCCCCTCCCTCCCTCCATCCCTCGCCGACGCAGGAGGCATCCCGGCCCTGGCAGCACTTTCCCGAGCAGCTGCCCCCGGCCCCGCTCCCGGCCCACAGCAGCCCCAGCCACAACGCTCCCGACAGCGCCGAGCCGCCCATCACCGTGCTGCCCATCACCGTGCTGCCCATCGCTGAGCCGCCCCGACGTGAGGATCCCGCACCGCTGCGCTGCGGCCGCCACGGGCCCCCGGCGGAGCGGGGCGGGCTCGGCGGGCAGGCGGCGGGGCCGGGCGGGGGCGGCCGGTGCGGTCCTGCCCGGCCCTCCCTGTCCTGCCCGGCTGGGCAGCCGGGCCGGCTCAGCGCCCCGAGGGGCACCGGGCAGCGGCAAAGCTTCGGGGTGCGGGGGGAGAGGGAGCCGGGGCAGGTACGGTGTCCTGCCAGGTGGTGGTTGTTTGCCGCGGGGTCCCCATGGTAGAACCCATCTAGCGATGTCCCACACAGCGATGTTCTTTTTGTACCGGGATGTACTGGGACTTGCACAGCCATGTCCCACACAATAGTGTCCCGCTTTGCACGGACTCACACTGTGACCCTCAAGTGATGTCCTGTGCAGGGATGTCTCAGACAGCAGGACCCATACTGCCGTGTCCCACACAGTGATGACCTGCAATGCACCCCATGGCAGTGTTCCACGTGGTGATAACCCTCACAGCAACATGCCACACAGAAACGTCCCAGGGACTCTCACCAAGGTCCTACACAGCAGTGTCCCACACTCCAATAACCCCCACAACGTTTCACACAGTGATGTCCCTCCCACAGAGAGATGTCCTGCACAGCAGGGTCCCATGTATTGCTGAGCCACAGAGAAATGTCCTCCACAGTGGTGTCACACAGCCATGTCCTACATAGAACAGATATGCAGAGCAATGTTCCACCTGGCACTGTCCTACACAACTGTGAACTGCTCAGCCATACCCTGTACAGTGTTGATGCACATCACAGTGACCCGCACAACTGTCCCAGAGCGTCCCTATCCATCTCCACACAGCCCAGTGGCTGGGAGTGGCCTGGGACCATGAAACAAGATTTATTGGTACAGGCACTTTCTCATTTCAGGTCACATCCCACACAGCCAAGAGCATTTGCTGTGTTATGTTTTTCATTTTCTTTCTTTTTTTTCTTTTTATTTTAAACTGTTTCCAGAACAAACAAAAGAAGCTGTACTTGCAGGTGCACAAGGAGAGTGAGGTGGATTCCCAAGTAACTTCCTAGAGTACAAAGATTTAGATTCTGGTTTTCAGTTCACTTCAGTGCTAAGAGGTTTTCAGGATTAATGGAACCTGACAATTTTAGTCAAAAGTCAAATCTCAAAAGAAAGTAGTGAAGTGACTGCAAAAATATGCTAGCTTTGCACACTTCAATTTGCAGATAGCTACTAAAGAAAGAGACATCTGGTCTCCCAAGCTGCCTACGGATGGGAGGTAACAGTCTATTATATTATCTACCACATGTGGGTACTTGAATCCCCCCGAGACAGCTTGGGCCAGACAGAGTTTAATTTCTTGTAGCCATCAAACATTGCTGTTAAAATGTTGTCTAAATCCCTGAGGATTGAGTCTGCACTGTTATCCAGTGTGCCATTAATGAACTCACTGGCATATTGCCAGCCTAAAACTTGAACCCATGAATAGCAAATGTTGGGGGAGTTCTTGCAGTGGGTGAGAGGAGAGCAAGATTTGCAGCCTGCCTTGGTAAAGGCAGTGCGAGAGAAGGAATGCCTCCATGTTTTCCTTTCCTTTATTGTATTCCTGTGCTTCACCTGAAAGGCAAAATATTAGCAAATAGTAGTAGAAACTACCTTTGTAAGTAGATAAATTGCATGCAGATGACTTATGCTAAAAGGATAAGTCAGTAAAACTTGGACAAATTCAGAACAGGATAAAGAGGAGCTTTGTCTTAGTGGATATGTTTACAGAAAAAAAATCAAGAAAATATGTCTGCAATAGTCCAGTAAAAAAAAAATAGAATACAAATTAAAAATGCTATAGTTTCTACTAGATGTAGTAAAGCAGATGTTTCAGAGCAAATGGAAGAAAAGAATCTTAATTGGAGGAGAGAACAAGCTCACTCAGTTTGTTCCGGCAAATACTTTGGTTTTTTCCTTTCAGTGTAGTTCCTCTCTGTTAGGAGTAGCACTAGGTAACCAGGTAACTACGAGGGACAAAGCAACACAGTTATGTGTTCTCAGGCAATGATGCAGCATTGAAACCCTTACAGGTAATTCCAACAAAACAGGCAGAGATTTCTTTCTAGTCTGATATGAGATGATCCTCAGAAAGTAGATATTGCTCATGCCCTGCTGTTGGTTATCTTTTTGTCACGCAGAAAACTTTGCAAGGAAAAGCAGTGTAGGGCAAGGGTAATTTAAAATGTAGGTAAGCTTAGGGAATGTGCAGAGCCCTTGCTCTGTCTTCCTCGTAGGCCTCAGAGGAGCATTGCATGGAGCAGAGGTCATCAGGCATCTGTTCTACATGTGCACTTTGTGCCAAAATATTTCTTAATCCCGGAGGTGAGGAGAAATCTAAGGGCTGTATTGTAGTCATCTCAAAAACAGGTGTTGCTTTTGGCTCTGAGATTTTGAAAACCATGGTCTAGATCAATTTGTTGGCCATTTTTGTACTTTTTTCCATTTCTACCCTATTTTAGCTTCAGAAACTCTAAACTCAAATTTCCAAACTAAAACCTAACTGCAGTATTATATGGTAGGAGGGGAGAAGAAACCAAGGCTGTGAAAAATTTTTTTCAACTAATTTTTCAAACATGTATATGGTTCCCATGAGTCTTGTTCCATCATTTTATTTCCAAGTGAAGTGTATCCATTGCTTTGCAGGGAGTTCTCCTTGGTTTGAAATACCACAAAGACAAAACTGAGAAAAATGTGTCCCAACAGTAAATTAGAATCTTTATTATTTACCATGCTTACCAATGCTATTATTTACCATGATTGTTTATGCTCTCTCTGTATGAAGAATGTAAAGCAGAGCCAAACTCTTACTCTCTGTCCATTCTTGTGGTGCACAACTACCCATAAGATAAGGTAGAAGGCTGAAAGCACTTGCAAGTGGGAACAAAATATATATTTGATAGTAGAATACCTCTCTTATTTTTCAAATTTTGCTTACAGCTGCAGTGACTTTGAGTACCTGATGTAAGGACTATTCAACTCAACTTCAAAGTCTTTTTCAAATACGTTGTCAGCCAGCAGCATTCCACATGCCCACACCTCCTCATGAGCAAACTTTCTGGAAGGTCCTAACTTGCACAAATTTTTCTTTGCTTCTAGGAGGTTAATCTAATGGCATCAAAATGAGAAGACTTCAAAGATCCTGCAGGGCATTTCTTTTTCTTTCAGACTAATGTTTGCACACAGCTCTATTTATTTGAGAGAAATAACCTTCCAAAAGAAAACCGCTTAGATTTTTATATTGAGACAACAAAGTGACTGATGTGACTACAAAGGCTACAGGCTGTCTCTATCCTGCTACACAGGGCCATGCTTCCTGAGAGCACCACAGTCAGTTTCAACTTGAGTTTGTTATGAGGCCCTTGTTCCCATTGTTCTGAAAAAATAGACTTTCTCCTGATAAGAAATAATCCCTGCTAAGGTGAATAACCAAATCATGGTGTTTGCTAGTGTAGCTGACAGCTTAAAGCAATAGCAACATTTTGTATGTAAGAAAAATGAGGAGTCATTTGTCTTCACTGACAGTCAGCCCGTATAAAAACACAGTAGATGGTACATAAAAGAAGGTTTCTATAGTTTTGTAGCCTGTGCAGTTATACAGAAAGCATGATGCTGTTTCAATGACTAGCTTGTCTACATCAAATCACTCATAAGAGAGCAGACTGAATACCTGCCTGTATTTGAGAGGTCATTTGCTGTGCAAAGAGCCTTTCCCTTCCACCCGCTTAGCCTTGGCAGTCCTGTCAGGCACAACCCTGTCATGGGAGATGCATTGGCTCGCTGCATCCCACTTACAATCACTGATTTTGGTTGGAGTTGGTAATGATGCCTAGAATCACTTGAATTTGAGAGGTTAATGGAATTATAGCAGAGCTATCTATCAGGATATTTTTAGCTTATTTTTAAAGGCCTTCATCCTACCTGTTAGCTATTGAAGAAATGTCCAAGTAGCGAGATGAATACAGATGAATACAGAGCTGCTTTCAAGTTTCCACACAGAAAAATTCAAGCAAATCTGTATGTCCAGTCTAAGCATATCAGGACTGGAAAACATCCTTTTCCTATTTTTTCCCCTGAATTTCTCCTTTTTTCAGTTCAGGGAGCTGAACTGAAATGGAGCAGTTGAGCTAGCGCGAGGAAGAGGGGGTAAGCCAGGGCAGAACAGGCAGAGGGCAGCAGGACTGCCTCCACCAGCAGCAATTAATGGCTCAGCTAGTGCACTCATAAGCGAATGTGCTGAGTACCTGGCTATATTTGAAGAAGAGCATTTGCAGCATAACTAGTGAAGCACAAAGTGCTGAGTTTTTTAGCTCCTGGTCCTGGAAAGTCCCACCGTTATTCAGACAATCTGTCTTGGTTCTTCAGGCCAAATAGGACACTTGTGCTTTCAAAGGCTTTGCTCAGATGTGAAGGTATCTATTCATTATGTGTGAGGAATACAGTCCACTTGACTCCTGTTTGTTAGTTATCTTCCTGCAGGGTTCACCAGGTAGTTTTACATTTTAAAGGCACACTATCAGTCAGAGTAAGAGAAGGTGGCAGTTTAACACAACCACTTTCCAAAACAGAACTGCCTCTTATAAAATTGTGGATCCCTTCCAAGCCAGCTTATTCTGTGATTCTGTGATTCTGTGAAAATAAGTATCCCAGGATGTTATTCCACATACGTTCCTGTTTCTCCCACTTTGGGGTTATTTTCTTTAGTATTTACAGACCCCCTCTTTTCTGCAATCATGACTAAATCAATTACTTCCCAATGTAGGAATCATTATTTTTATTTTAAAGATAGAATAAAACAATACTGAGAGATTAGGGCACCTATCCAGCAAAACACTTGAGCACTTGCATAACCCAAGGCACACAGCAACCCCACCGTAGGACTGTGCTCTTGTTCCAAGTTGTGCAATCTTGGAGGATTTACCGAACTTTGGCCTCCTGCTGTGCCCCAGGGCTCCCTGAGACTCAGCTCCCTCGCTCTTA